CAATAATCAAGAACCATACCCTTCGCCTGCTAAGCCGCAAAAGGCAATGTTGGGCGGAATACAAACGAACAGACAACGACGGAGCGTACAGGCAATATAAACATATAAGGAACATATGCACGAAGGCTATAAGAGAAGATAGGCTTCAGTACCAGATAAAGCTTATGGACAAATTCGCCTCTAATCCTAAAAGTTTATTCCGTTTTGCAGCCTCTCTTCGTCAAGCCAAAATTGGAGTTTCACAACCGGTAGGTCTTGACGGCCCGACCAACAACGATGGCGACGCCGCTAATCTGCTGGCTGAACATTACTCTCAGACATTTCAACCGTCCGACATCAACTATACTGATGACAGTTCCATTTGCAATTCCACAGGACTTTCCGAAGTGAACCTAAGAGCTGACTTGGTGTTCCGGAAACTGCAGCACTTAAGATTAGACACTTCTCCTGGCCCGGACATGGTCCATTCCGCCATATTGAGGGAAGCAGCCTCAATCTTGGCAACGCCGCTTAGCGTGATGTTTTCACACTCGTTATTTCGAGGAAAACTATCGGAAAACTGGAGGCTGACTCACATCACACCAATTTTCAAAGGAAGTCGACGCAGCGAACCTTCAAGTTACCGACCGGTGGCTCTTCTCTCTATACCCTCAAAAATCATGGAGTTCTTGATATGCGGTTGTATGAATGACTATTTATTGTCCTTAAATTTCTTCTCACCCCAACAGCATGGTTTCAGGAAGGGTTACTCTTGTAGTACCAATCTGCTGACTGTGGTGGACAGATGGACAAGCATCCTAGATCACAAGGGGAAGGCTGATATCCTCTACCTAGATTTCTCAAAAGCTTTTGATAAGGTTAACCATACATGTCTTATCAATAAGCTCAAACGATTGGGTATCAGACCACCTGTAATCGATTGGCTTAGTTCATACCTGAAAAATCGACATTTTAAGATCAGGGTTAATTTCACTTTATCTCAGGCTATGGAATGTCCTAGTGGGGTCCCCCAGGGCTCAGTACTAAGGCCTCTTCTCTTCTTGATCTACATAAATGATCTTCCTCAACAGGTAACGTCAGACTTATTACTTTTTGCCGACGACGTGAAACTTTGGAGAGAGATACGCAACCAAGACGATACACAGGCACTTCAGGAGGATCTGACGCGACTTCAAAGTTGGGCAGACGATAACGGACTTACCTTTAACACTTTAAGGTGTAAAGTAGTCCATCTGCGACATGTCGCAAACTACAGTTACAACTTAGGAAACTCCTCTCTAGTAGTATCCCAAGTCGAAAAAGATATAGGAGTCCTGGTGCTCCATGACTTAAAGTTTTACGCTAACTGTGACAAAAATGCCTTCCGAGCAAACCTTGCACTGGTAACGTTGAGGCGCATTTTTCGCCAGTTTGATGGAAGAACTTTCCACACAATCTTCAATAATTTAATCCGTCCCCATTTAGAGTACGGAAACATAGTATTTCCCCCCTCATTCCAAAAGTATAAGGACACCCTGGAGCGTATCCAACGGCGAGCCACGAAATCAGTTCAGGGACTCAAATTTAAACCTGTGGTGGTCGGTATTCGATATAATCCTTAGACTTTGTATACAGCTTGTCTTGATAACCGTTCTACATAACGTCCCAACGGTTTATTAATCAGAAGGCAAATACGAAGTGTTGATTACGTTTATTACGAGACCACACACATATATCCAAATGTACAGATGCGTTAAACAAGCATAGAAGAGTTGTGCCGAAAGGCAAGCAAGCGAGCGAGAGCCAGAGCAAGAGCGAGACGAGAGTGTGTGAGTACGAATAACATGGACATATATATAGCATGTGAAATGAATGAGTAATCGAATCAAATAACCAGTTAGTAGTAAGACTAGCAGAGTGAATAAATGCGTAGGCCGTAAGCAATATTCAAGCATACGTATTTCATACAAGCACAAAATAATAAGGGTACAATAAGTTGTTATAGTGCGGATGACTTTGTCCGCTAAATGAGTTAGCAAAAGGGCTTAACTGCGTTAGATGAGACTAAACTCATTTGCACGTGAGTCGCTATAAACCTTACGAAGAGCGCCTCTATTCACTTAACCTTTGCCCATTAGAGTATAGACGTCTTAGAGGTGACCTTCTGATGGCTTACAGTATCCTTACCACTTTTGGACATCCTCTCAAACACCTACTTAAGCTTAGTTCCAACGCTAACCTAAGAGGAAACACCCAAAAACTGGAGACACAACATAGCAGAACGGACTGTAGACACAACTTCTACTCCTTAAGAGTTGTCAAATGCTGGAATTCGCTGGCGGTTGAGCTAGTCCAAGCGACTTCCGAAGAGTCCTTTAAGAGGCAACTTGATCTATTCTTAAGGACTAAGGATAGTATCACACTATGATTTACTAATTTCTTTTCCTCTTTTATTGTTAACATACCTAGGTTCCTGCCTGGAGGATTTGGTGATCCCCTGCTACTAGACACGGAAGCCTGTTAAGCGAAAGCTTCTCCTATTCCGTCCACAACCGTTCGAACTATTTGAAAGAAATCAGTTGGTGTATACAAGCTCAAGACAAGGATATTGGATATAGTTGGACCTGGTAAAGTTGACTTGTGCGGTACAATTTAGTGGTGTGGCCGTCCCAACGTCTGTTGAGCTTAAATTTCTTTTTGATTGTGTTCTTTTTTGACTACACATAAGATTTCCTAATTAAGGATCATGATACGATAAACCTACTTCGTGAAAAGTGCTTTTGCGTTTCTATAGGTTTACAATACCGATTCAGCATTCTCATATTGTTAAACTAGGCTTTTCTCTGTTACTCTCCTAAAACATCATTTTCCGGGACAGTATACGTTTAAGCTTGAAAACGGGTCATAAGTGATTTTACTGATTGTTTCTTATCGTTCTTACTTCTTATTGGATTGACAAAAGACTTCACTGAACAACGATCTACGAAACATATAAACCCCAACTAATCGCTCATGTGCCCCATATAGTCCCTAATGTTATGTAGACCGTCAGTGATATCATTTAGTTGAGCTTACTTAGGCAAAATAGGGGAAACGGTCTATCACTAAATCATTTTTCGAGTTAAATATGTATCGAAAACAATTAGCAATTTGTGAAGTTTTGTTTCCGCGTCGTCATTTTTGCTACTTGATGCCCCAAGCTCTTTGCCAATCCTAAGTAATTTTATCTCCAAATAAAGGAATCTTTCGAAAATATACCCTCAAGGAACAAGCTTCTTGCCGTATTTCTTTAATTTTATGCAAAACCGTAAAGCTCGTATGTAGTTCAGATTGGCTTGTGAGTATAATATTGTTGCACTCTGTATTGAAAACCAGGATATTATCTTTTCTACATTGTGTTCTATTTCTCCCAGTGTTGCTGATAATTCATTAGACTTGCGCGTCTTTTAATATTTTGATTTCGTGTGGTTGCGCGATGGCATGCATGTCATTGAAATTGCACTTTATCAATTAGTGATCAACTTAAGGGATTCTATGTCCTCCACGTTATTTAGGTGTAAGGTAAATTCGAAAAAAACCAACGAAAGCCTATTACTTTACCCAGTCATGGTGGTGGTTCGTTAGCAACAGTCTATAAGTTTATGCACTTGCATATTTTTGTGATTTTTGATAGCAAAATACACCTTTATCAGCCTGAGTCGCTTTTGTCGTCATTATGATGCGAATTCGGTCAATTATAAATAATTCTATGTGACCAGTTTAGTTTCATCGTTAAAAAAGCCTTTTCTTTCGGGTTGGTGTCCAAAAGCTGTTTAGTAATTGTTTTTACCATTTGGCTTCTGTAATGGTTAGTAGAAAGTTTCATTGCCATACAGCTTCTCTTTAGTTAACATTATCATAGATATGTCTTTAGAGACGACGATATATCCTTTTGGTTACTCACAGGTTGACGTTCATCCCGAAAATTCACGTAGAATACGTTAATGACAGGTCTGTATGGGAAGAACTGAAAAACTATGGTCTGTCGACCGAAACAATTTGACCATGTTCGGGATGTGTTTCTTCTTCTCTGAATGTAAAATGTTACTTCAAGACTAGTCTGCATCAAGTCTTAGTTTAATAAAAAAGTGAATAATTCACTTATTCTGAAAGTTTTACCAGTATGTGATAGAGAATTTCCTGTATTTAGTAGAAAGATCATCCGAAAATAAACTTACTGAACTAAATGAAGCTTGGATTCGCTATTTGCAGTTTTTTCTTTCAATTAAGAATATTAGGTAATTTACTGGAGAACAGTATATTTTTATGGACATTCCAGTATATCTAGCTATTATAGCGACATCACATTCGTCCTAATACATAGTTTTCAATACAAATTCCAAATAAGAACCGATTAGAAATAGTTCTACCTAAGTCCCCAAATGCCCTGGTATGGCCGAAGGTGAAGAGAGTCAGCTCCCTCTCGAAATGCTCTCATATGGAAGTCCTACTCACTACCTTCTCGTGGCGGGTGTGTTATTTACGAAATTGAGAGGACGAAAAGTGAATGTCCGGCACTTTAATTAGGTTGGTGGATATAGAGGATCCACCCAGGGGAGTCGGAGAACTCTGATTCTAACCAATGGTCACATCGGCTCCATGATCTTGAGGGAAAAAACGGCGTATGAACCCATTGTTGGTTGTTCTCAGCCCTCACATAAATCAGATGGTTTGTACGGTGCATATATATTTGGTTCCTCCTTGTATCGATGTTTATGTTTAGATGAGTAAATAATAGTTCTATCTAAAACCTCGTCAGTTGTAGGTTAGATTAATACATGAAACTTTAACTGGTTAGTGGATAGTATTGAGTCACGTTATTTATATCATGGAACATGGACTACTCTTCTTTTCTGATATTTTTCTTTCTATTTCTTTACATATAGCCTAAAAATCGGGTTTGTCTACAATAATTTCCTTTACTAATTGATACGTCTATTATTGTGAGACTGTGGAGTAAACATCTGAACTTGTTTCTTTGTATGGGCTCAAAGTCAAAAGCTCATGGGAATCGTAAAAAATGTAAAAAGAATAATGTTCACTTAGAAGCTCAACAGGATCGAGCATCTAAAGTATGTTGTAAAGGAAATGATGAAAATGATTATTATCTGAAAAATGATCCATCAGCACCGGAATTCCGTCAGCAATTAAATCAACTTGGTTTAGATTTCCGGGAGGTACCATCAGATGGAAATTGTTTATTTTCATCGTTATCTGATCAATTATATGGAACAATAACTAATCATAAAGAAGTTCGTGAACAAGCTGTACTTTATATAGAAAAACATAAAGAAGAATTTGAGGCATTTTTCGATGTCAAAGATAGACTAAATAAACTTCGATCACTTGGAACTTACGGTGGTCACGAGTGTATTATTGCAATATCACGGCATTTTTCTGTATATATTATTATACATCAACTAAAACAAAAACCTTGGCTAGCCGGAACTCCTGTTATCGACAAAACACATGTCAACGTTTCTACCTACCCTCAATTACATTTAGCTTATCATAATGGTGAACACTATTCAAGCGTACGAGTTTTCGGAGATAATTCCAGTAATCCTACAAGAATAAGAATTTGTATTTCAACTGATAATTCTGCTTCATATGCAAGCAATACATCTGATAGGAAATGTGTGGACTACTCTTCTGATGGCTCGGATGATAAAAGCTCTATTCATTCATGTAAAAATTGTGATAGACAGTCGAATAAAATTTCTAACTGTAATACAGACTACTTTCAAACATTTCCATTTCGCAGAAAATTAAGTAAAAAAGAAAAACGTCAACTTAGACGTATATCTCTTGAATTGTCTAACTCGGAATTTGTTATTAAATCTATTTCCGCTCTACATATATAATTTATAACTGATTGTCATTCCTTTTTTTCTTGTCACAACGACTTTTCTGCTTCTTATTTCATACTAGATAATAAATTGTATATTTGAGATTTTCGTATTTTTTTCTCGATTATTGAACTATATTTATTAATTTTATATTTTACAACTATGTAGTTTTCACGAATATAGGATTGCAGTGTACTTATTCCAGATTACATTCTTTCTTAGTACTGATTTTTTTTTGAAAATTACCGTGAGTGTTTGGGAATTGAAGTGCTTCTAAAAATCACTTTTGGATAGCCATATTATGAAGACATTAAAAAGAAAGATATGTTCTGAAAATTCTCAGTATTTGAGATTAAAAATAACCAGTGTTCCGTTGGAGAGTTTAGTCTGAGCGGGTGAAAGTACAAGATTCCTATTAAGTAATGCAGGCAATTTTATTACGTAGTTCACAGCTGTGATGCTTTTATTTCTGCATTTTTATATTTCACGAAGTTTTTGCTACTGTTCTCGCTCTCAGAATTATCCAGCATATTTATTGTTATGGTTTATTAGTCAACAGAGAGATTTTTCGAAATATTGGAATAATTTAACCACTACATGTTATTTGCATAGTTTGCATATTTCTATGTTATTACTTCTTTTGCTTGAGCAGTGACACAAATCCATTTACCCTTCGTCCTCCCGTAGTTGTTATTTCGAAACTATCTTATGCTTTTTATTCTGCGAATTTATTCCTTCCCTTCAGATCATATTCTTTGTATCCGATATTTTCCAATGCTACTGGCACTGTTACCACTTTTAGTACTCTAGCACTTGTCTTGATAATTTCATTTTGCTCTGGTGATATGGTGTGGCAACTTGAATTGATACACATGTGTTCCAGGTTCTACGTTGTGTATGACTGACTGATAAAGGTTTAAAAAACATTTAAACTAGTTTAACAGCATAATAACTAAAAACTATATTTAGTGATGCAAGCTTCTTATGGTAGGCTAAAATTATAATAGTATTTGATTATTTAAAATATTAAGAACACAAAGTTTAGCGAAGGGGTCTCTTTTCAACGAATTTATTATCCTCACGGAATTAGTACTTTAACAAGAAAAAATTTCTTATATATACGATTGTACAGCTTGCTAATAAATTCGTTGTAAAGAGATCTCTTCGCTTAACTTCGTGTTTTTAATTTTTAATATTTAAAATATATTAAGTAAAATACAAATTAATATTTCAAAGGTTGTGGGTTGATGGTTTAAACTAATGTGCTTTCAACTATTCATAGTTTCTCTTAAGGTATTAGAAAATCTTCCACTGGATTTTCACTATATTTCGTATGCAATTTTGTATATGATTAAATTAGATGAGTTCCGTTTAGTTCCATGAAAGAGAGTTTATAAATAGTATATCGGTGTAACTTATACAAGCTTTATGGGAGCTTGTTTTGAAAGGTTCGTATACAATTAATGTTTGTCGGTCACCTTTCAATGTCTGTCACCCATTAAGTTTTTTTGATTTCCAATATATTTTGTTTTTACTTAGTAAATAGGTTCTAATAAATTACTTAATATAGAGTGATAGTGTGAAACAGATTTAAACAGGTATGAAAAAATAATGGGATAACAATCTGTTGATTATACGCTCCATACAAAATTATAACTTCTTCAAATGCCATTTATAAGTCATTATTCAACACTTGAATGTATTGTAAAACATTCAATTATAATGGTATAAATTGGGACAAATGGCCCTAAAGTTTGTTTTAAAATAAACCGAAAACACTTGTGAAGATATAAAACAAGAAAGTGATGTTTTTGGTAGTGCTCAAAATAATAATTGTTCCACCCTATGTAGCTCAGTCGGGTCATCACGGTAAAAATGCTTGACCATCTCATTAGGGTAACAGCTGTGGTCGGAAGTGTGTGTTAATAAGAAGGTATACCGGGCTGTTTATTACCTCATAAGTCGGAACCCTCGTCTTTCTCCTCAATAGCTCCATATATATATATATAGTTATCACAGTTGAAAGTGAAATACACAGAACTGAATTGAGACTTGGTTTATATTTCTAAGTAGTACCAAAATAACATACTCCAATGTCAGCAAAAAAACATTCGAGAAATAATCCCACATGAAATAAAGAAATTTAAAGGGATTTATGTGCAAAGCAACTGAAAACGTAAAGAGCGATATGATACTCAATGTTTATATGAATACACATAAGGAACGGTTCTTTTGCTAACGCTTAGTTTTATGATACATATTTTTATTTTTAGAATCTTATTAAGGAAATACAATGTTTCTTGTTTGTTATTTAGATAATGTCTGATATTCTTTAATATCTATGCTTTGTTTTAATTCAACCACTACTTCATTGTTTTCAACCAACTGAAAATGAAAAATGGTTTGTTAGAAATAACCATATCATGTTTACATCATGTATGTTTAAATGTACCGTCTTTACTGACTTTTTTTTCTATATTTTCAACAATTAGATTTTTGTATATCCTGTACGAAAAAAATACAAAATTAGATACTCATTTATGAGTGAAGGATGGGTAACCAACTCACTGGACTATCACCTTCACCAGTTGTTGAAGATTATTTATCTGAATTATCCGGCCTAGTTGTATTTGAAGAAGAACTTTGCGGTTCTAGATTGTTTAAAGTGGCTAAAATAAGGTTAGTGTTTATTCGACTTCGCTTATTTGAAGTTACGTTGGTAATATTTTGTAAAGGTTTATTTCTTATTTATAAGTGTTACTGTGATCTGGGTTGATGCTTATCTTTCATTTTTTTCAGCCATAATCACTAAAATAACCAGGGTCGGATAGACAAAATGTAAAGTTTTTTAGAAAAAGCCTAGACACCAGTTCATCAAACTAATGACTTCTGTTATTGTATGTTTCTTGTTTGGAACATACAAGACAGCAAAAACTGAAGTTGAAAACTAAATTCAGCACAGCATAAAATACTCGTGTCAACTAATCAGTAATAAAACACTAAATACTTTAAGTCCATTCAATTCACACTGATAGCATTCCCTACCAACATCTAATTAATTGACTACTTTATACTTTAGTTTTTTTCACTTCCATTTTGTCGTTCGCTCTATAAGCAAACATGTTTTCTGTCTGATTTCATTCGTTCTGTATACTGTGAAACTGAGAACCCTTCGTTATTTTGTATCCTTAGTGTTCCAATTCACATTCCATATATATTTCAGTTTATGTAGCAACATTTTACAAATGACAGAAGCGTGTTCTTACTTTTAAAATTCGTTGTGAACCCTTGAAAATAACCAAAACGTTCTTGTATCTGGGTAGGTTTATGACTACTTTTGGGGGTGATGTGATCGACATATAGTGAAGGCCAGAATGATTTATTCTTATCTGCCCTATTTTTGGTGTCACTGTAACAGTGATTTGATTGCTAGAGGTCCGGTATACAACGCTTCGTCAAAAGTTGTTATAATATAGGTTTGTAAAATTTAACCCTCCCTTCCCTGAACTAAGAATATTTAATAACTTTGTGTTCAGTCATCTCTGTCTCCAAAGCATTACTCACACTCAATAGCAATATCGTGTAAGTAATACTGATATCTGTCAATGTATTTTTGGACTCAATTTTTGTTATTATCTTGAAACGTCGGCTTCGTTACCTTGTACGTGTTCTATAAGTGTTATCCTAGTGGCTTCCTCACTGGTCATTATTTGGTCACGTTCAAACTAGATGAGAAAAGTATCTCACAGTACCAGAGTTTTATTTTTTTATAAATGAGAATTGCTTACAGTCTATTCTACGAGTTTGGATTTGATTATTGAGTTTAAACTCCACTTGTAGCTCTTCTAGGGTTACTGCCGGTCCCAAGCTCAGGTAAAGGAGGAGGGTTGGGCATGTGGGCGGCAACCTCCTCCTTCAGAAAATAACCTTGCTAAAAAACGCTAACCAGAGTAAACAAATCAAATCATTCAAACTATGCCCTGGGGGTTGAAAGAAGAATTATAAAGCCTCATGATGAAGGCCGAGATTCTCCGGAAGTCACGAGGCCGATACCTCTTCTAATAATCAAAGTAACGATTTTTATAGGTATATGAAACGTCCGGACGACGTGGGAGACCGTGAGGACCAATCAAATAACAACGGAAATGAGGATATGCAACTTTTCGGTTCTCGAAATCAGTGAAATCCATTGGACCCAAGCTGGACAGCAAAGGTTAGGTACGGGAGAGATGCTGCTGTACTCCGTTCACGAAGAGGAACATGCTCCACCCACTCACGGAGATGCTCTGATTTTGTTTAAAGAAGCACAAAATGCACCAATAGGATGGGAATCTCAAGGATTTAGGATAATTAAAACATCCCTCATACAAAGAAGGAGGGAATTACTATGAATATTATCCAATGTTATGCAGCCAGCAGTGATAGCAATAACGTCGATTAAACGCAGTTTTGCGAGAGGCTGTAATCAATCATAGCGAAGTGACCGGAAAAAAACCTGACCATGCTGATATGAGACCAGGACGCTAAGGTCAGAATGGACAACACCGGATATGAAGACATCATGTGATGACATGGACTGGGAGAAAGGAACGAGAATAGTGATAGATTTACAAATTTATGTGCATTTAACAAATTGGTTATAGGCGGCACAACATTCCCCCACAAACGCATGCACAAAGCTACATGAATGTCTCCGGACCACACCACGGAGAACCAGATAGATCATATATGTGTCAGTAAAAAGTTCACAAGATCAGTGGAAGATGTGAGGACCAAGAGAGGTGCTGACATAGCTTCAGATCATCAACTGGTGGTTAGCAGGATGAAACTGAAGCTAAAGAAGCAATAAACAATTAGGGAAACAGCAATTACTAAAGGTTTAATACAGCCTTCCTTCGACATACTGGCACACTCAACGAATTCCAAGCCTTACAGGATCTACTGAAAAGACAAACTACTATGAGGATAACTGGCAAGGGATCAAAGAAGCACTAAGTTCAACGTGCCAGGGGGTGCTGGGCAACAAGAAGCATCATCATAAGGAATGGATCTCTATGGAAACCCTGGACAAGATTCAAGAAAGGAAGAACAAGAAGGCAGCAATTAACAACAACTAAACAAGTACAGAGGAAGTCAGGGAACAAGCTGAATACAATGAAGCCAACAAACACGTGAAGAGGAGCATTAGAGCTGACAAGCAGAAATGTGTGGGAGACCTAGCAACGGTAGCGCAAAATATTGCAGCAGAAGGAAATATGAAACAACTGTATGATACTGTGAAGAAATTGGGAGGGAAATGTAGTAAACCAGAGTGACTGCTCAAGAGCAAGGCAGGTAAGCCGACCACCGAGATTCAAGAACAGGGGAAAAGATGGGTGAAATGCTTTAAGGAACTCTTGAATAGGTGAGCCCCATCAAATACACTGGACATCGAGGCAGCACCTACAGACTTTCCTATAGATGTCACTTCAACGATCGAAGAAACCAGCATGGTCATCAGACAGATCAAGTGTGGGAAAGCAACAGGACCTGACAGTATAACAACTGAAGCTCTGAAGTCAGACATAAAAGTAACTGTAAAGCTGCTCTACATCTTATTCAGGAAGATTTGGGAGGAAGAACAAGTGCCAACGGCCTGAAAAGAAGGATATCTCATGATTTTATTTATTTTATTTTATTTTAACACATATATATTGGTACAGGAGTGCGCCGAATATATATGTGCCACACAAAACAATGAGAATCTAAGAAGAAAAAAAGTGAGGAGCGTAAAAAAAATAATAAAAAACAATAGCGAAGAGATTGGTGTAAAGTAGTGTAATAATAATAATAGCAATAGTAGGGGAACAGAACGGTACAACCAGAAGAAATCTTTCAGTTAAGGAAGATACAACCACCTTTTTTATGAAGAAAATAAAAGAAGGTTACAGCAGGATCGCCACTGGCTTCTGTTCTGAGCCATATCTGATAACGTCTCTAGCCACTGTGTAGCACCATCTCTCGGACCCCAACCAGGGAGTCGTGAAGGACCAACAGAAGCCAGTCCTTTGCAGCTTTCTTTCACACCACGACACCATGTCATGCACTGATCACCTCTCCGCTTTTTTCAACTAGTCCCAGAGTTGGCAAATAATGCACGGCGTGGAATTCTCTGGGACGACATTCGTAGAACATGTCCAAGCCACCGAAGTCGGTGTTTCAAGATGGTGACACCAATTGCATTATCATCTCTGTGCCCGAACACACGATGCCGAACCTCTGCATTACTAACATGGTGTTGCCACTGCATGTCAGCAATCCTTCGGAGAGAACGATGATCGAACACAGAAAGTCGTCTAACGTCCTCAACTCGGAGAGGCCAGGTTTCACGAGCATAGAGCAAGACTGCTCTCACTGACGCGTTGTAGATCCTACCTTTTACAGGCAGACTAACATCACGAAGGCGTCAAAGATGGCCCAGGTTGGCATAAGCCGCTCTGGCTTTCACTATTCGTGCATTGATCTCATCACTCACACCCCCACCAGCACTTATGCAGCTACCCAGATACACGAACTTCTCGACTACTTCTATCTGCTCACCATCCAGGGTGAGTACAGGATTGGAATCCTGCCAGTCTTGTAGAAGTACTTTGCACTTCGAAGGTGCAAAGCACATACCATACCTACGGACACTGATTGCCAACTGATTAAGTGTGGATTGCATGCCTTGGGCATTATCGCACAGTAAGACAATATCATCCGCATACTCAAGGTCGAGAAGTCTTTCTCCAGGCAACAGATCCACACCACCATTACTTACATCCATCAGAGCTGTTTCCAGAATGTCATCGATGGCAAAGTTGAAGAGGAATGGTGAGATTGGGCAACCCTGCCTAAACCCACTGCTCGAATGGAACAATGGAGAGAGGTGGTTGTATGCCCTCACTCTGCCTGAGGTGTTTTTATACAGGGCTTTTAGGATGTTAATAAACTTCTCAGGCACACCGTTCTTCAATAGACAATCCCAGAGAACAGTCCTATCCAACGAATCGAAGGCAGCCCTGATGTCGAAAAACACTACGATTGTTGGCCTTTGAAAAGTATGGCGGTGTTCTAACATTTGGCGGAGGGTGAAGATATGATCAATACATCCTCGACCAGAACGAAACCCAGCCTGCTCCTCGCGAGTCAATCTTTCTCGAGTTTTGAACAATCTACGAAGTATGACGGAAGCCAATAGCTTGGACGCAATCGGAAGTAGACTTATCCGCCGATAGTTGTTACAGCAACGACGTGAACCCTTTTTAAAGATAGGGACAACTATCGACTCATTCCATGACGTTGGTACACTCTCGAGCTCCCAGACCTTTGTAAACAACGTCGTCAATTCCTTAGTCAAAAAGTCACCACCATCTTTAAAAAGAGGCGGAGGTAAGTCATCTGGGCCAGGTGATTTGTAACGCTTCAAGAGTTGGAGTTCCTTGCGGACTTCCTCCTCATTTGGTGGATCAGTCGTCACCGGCCATGGAGGGCAGGAAAGTCTGACCGATGTTGCCGGAGCAGCAGGCCAGTTGAACTGCCCTTCAAGAAATTCTGCCCATCGTCCAAGACGTCGATGGATGTTAGTGATTGGCATCCCATCATCCTCGCAGATTGTTTCACTCACACCAGACTTCTTGCTGCCAGTGGCTCGGATGAGTTGGAAGAGCTTCCGGTAATTACCAGATGCAGCTGCTGCTTCTAGCTCATTAGCACGCTCCGACCACCAGGTTCGTACGCCATTTGTTCCCGCAGGATACTGGAGCCCATGTGCACCATTGACTTGGAATCCGGTTAAAGCGCCGGACATTCGCTTTTCGTCCTCATTTTCGTAAACAACACCCCCGCCACGAGAAGGCAGTGAGTAGGACTTCCCTGGCAGAGGCTGTATACGCGTGGCCGTGTGAGAGTATTTCGAGAGGGAGGGCGAACCCACCCCGCTCTCGGCCGTACCAGGGCATTTGGGGGCATATCTCATGAAGATACCAAAGAAGGAAGATCTGAGCAAATGTGGGAACTCAGGTACAGGGGCATCACACTACTGTCAGTACCAGGAAGTTTGCAACAGAGTTCTGTTGAAGCGGATGAAAGATTCAGTATACGTCCAGCTTCTAGATTAACAGGCTGGATTCCGTAAGGATCGGTCGTGACAGACCAAATCGCGATAATACGGATCATCGTTGAACAATCAATTGAATAAAATTCGTCACAGTACATCAACTTTCTCCATTATGAGGAAGCATTCGACAGTGTGGATAGGAAAACATTATGGAACCTTCTTCAAAACTATGAAGTACCTGAGAAAATCATCATCATCCGGAATTCGTACGACGAATTACAGTGCGAAGTGGTGCATGGAGGACAGCTGACAGACTCATTCCAAGTGAGGACAGGAGTCAAACAAGACTGCCTACTCTCTCTCTTCCTCTTTCTTCTGGTGGTTGACTGAATTATGAAGACCTCGACATCTTAGGGGAAGTACGGAATACAATGGACAGCTCGGAACCAATTAGAAGATTTGGACTTCGCAGATGATCTGGCCCGTCTATCCCATACACATCAAGAAATGCAAGTCAAGACAGTCAGTTTGAAAGCAGCATCTGCATCAGTAGGCCTCAACATACACAAGGGGAAAACCAAGATCCTCAAACACAACACGGAGAAAACCAACCCAATCGCACTTGATGGAGAAGCTCCTGAAGAGATGGAGACATTCACGTATCTGGGTAGCATAATGGATGAACAAGGAAGATCCGACTCAGACTTGAAGGCACGGATTGGGAAAGCAAGGACAGCACTCCTACAGTTAAAGAACATATGGAACTTCAAATGACTGTCAATCAGTCTCACTGTCAGACTCTTCAATACGAACGTCATACAGTTCTAGTAAATGGAGCTGGAATTTGCAGAACTACCACAACCATAATCAAAAAGGTACAAGTATTTATAAACAGTTGTCTACGCAAGATACTGAATGTTGGTTGGCTGGATACCACGAGAAACAGCCTACTATGCCAGAGAACAAATGACCTTCCAGTTGAGAAGGAAATTAGGAAAAGACGGAAGTGGATGAGACACACATTGAGGAAACCATCAAACGGCATCACGAAGTAAGCTCTAACTTGAAATCCTGAAGGAAATTAAAAAAAAGAAGACCAGGAAACACACTGCGCCGAGAATCGGAAGCAGACATGAATAGGATTAATAGCGACTGGAAAGGATTGCCCAGGATAGAGTTGGATAGAGAGTGTTGGTGAGTGGCCTATGCTCCTTCGCGTGGGGTAACAGGCGTAAGTAATTAAGTATGTATTGAGTTTAGCTAACTATAATTCATGATTATTGAAAAGGGCATAAAAGAAATTTTTTTATACCGACTTTGCTTAATTTCTTATTAGATCGGTTGATGGAGATAATCCGCGTTCACTTGTAGTAAAAATATTTCCCAATCCAAATATCTCCCAATTATTATGGCGCTATCAAGCTCTTATGTTGCCTTACTGTCATCGTATTAATTCTGGTTATAATTTACTATTTTTTAGCACGTAAGTTTAAAGTTTCCAGTGTAATTTTTTTACTTTTATTGTTGTAATGAATGTGACATATACTGAAACACTAACTTATATTGTATCGAACGACAACACGAGTGGGGACAGTCGAATGTATTTGAACATCTTAGTAAAATCTGAGAATCATACAGTGAATACTTTATTTGCAAAATGTCAATCAATCGTCTCAGACTTCATTGTTCTTTCGTTTCCACACTAATCATTTTTTGTTCTCGTTCTCTTTTCGTTGATTTTTCTAACGTTCTGCCTCTAGTCATTTCACTTTCGATTGATGGTACATACTACTTATATCTATCGACATCAGTAGCACGCACTACAATATCACGGATAGCGAATGTTTATTTTTGCTCATTGTGTGGAATCTTAAAAACGATAGCTCATCTTTAAGGGAAAATAACGGTCGAACTATAAAGGATTCTAAAGAAAATAATTTAAATGAACATATATGGGATTTCTCCTTGATATTCTATCCATTTTTTAAGACCTTTGCTGACTGAACATCCTTTTACTTCAGTATTTGTTAATCTTCGTTTTTAGAATTCAACCCTACGAATTTTCTTTAAGACATTTACTGAAACAAAATCTTTCTTTTTTCTTATATCATTCAATCAGCTACTTCATGATTATTTTTTTTGTTTCTATCTTAATCGGATGAACGATTCTAATTTTTAAAATGAACAATACAATAGAAAAATAGTTACTTGAATGGAACTATAATATGCGGTAAATTTATTTGTGATATTTCATTACCTGCACCTACAACCTGTGACATTCCAAATTGAATATAAGATTTCCATAGAAATAATGTCGATTATCAGTTAGCTCAAATAAATATCTCCATATTACAACAATCATAAGGATTTGAATTAAGTTAATGAAGGTTCGAGTAGACTATATAAGCAAAGACTGTATACAGAAGATTATTTTAACTGAAGGCGTAATAAATTTGAATGTATTGGGTTTTTAAATCTCAAAATATCTATTCAGTTGGTATCCTTTTCCTAAAAATTGTACTGTTGAACTCCTTTTTTGATGACCATAATTGAGAAAGGTTATAGTTGGTATTTTTCAACTCTTAGCTGTGCATTAAAAGAAATTTTTAAATGATTTATAGTAGAATGTTTCTTCTCTTATGTAGTAAATTATTCTATCTCTTTCCTTCTAATTTAGATCATATATAACTGAACGTAGTGGAGTACTTATCAGAGATTTTATTGATCAGTCATTAGCTGATCGTCTGTGTACAAGACCATTTTTATGTATTGAGGATAAAAGATGGATCGCTTATCAATTATTATGCGCTGTTGATCAGCTTCATAGTTATTCAACCAAAGCTTATAGTAAGCATTCTAGAGCTAATTATTCAGTAAGTGGAGCTGCGTAACTGACCCTTATTTTTTCTAAAAATAACCATGGTTTTTTTAAAGGTTTCATTGTCATAGAGTCGTATTTCTTTAAATATTAATACGATGCCCAATAATTAAGCCTAACAATTAGGTTTTATCAGTGAAGTGTTGCGGAAATTGTTGGGCTTCATTAAAACCATGAACCGATGAAATTCAAGTCTCCATAACCACTTACTGACAATTATCATGTGCTTATCAGTAACTAGCTTCGAAAGGGAATTTCCGGAGTTCTAGTACGAGGCCATGATCAGTGGGGTCCAATCCGTGTTGGTTGTAAAGCACCCGCCGAAGAAAATAGAAGATGGTCACTCATTGTCGCGGGTGGATTGAGGTTAGACATTAACACCATTGGATGTCAGTTCAGTGGTCGAGTGGTTAAGCGTTCGCACGTTGGACCAAAGGTCCTGGGTTCGATCCCCGGTTGTGGTGTATTGGACGATCAATGCTGAGTTCAACGCGAGGATGCAACGGCCGTTCAGTTCTTCCACGTTTTCAATTATGATCTAACTTAGATTGATTCATGATTTCAACGAAATTAGGTTTTAATTTACTGGAGAGTAAGCAACACACAAAATGATTTCTTCAGCTGCTTATGTAATATTTTATTATGTTCATTTTCTATTGATATTTCCTACATATAAGTATATCATTGTATTGCATAAAAATTCTTATCTTCTTTGGTCTTGTCTAATGAGTCTTCCTATCAAGATTCCTCTTTTGGAGTGGCTGAGTCTAGAAGAGAATAGAACGATTTTATGCGATTTTTCAGTTTTCGTTAGAGATATAAAATGGACATTGAGACTACTATGATTTTCAAAGTGATAATCTTCTTTTCGTAAAATAAAATACTTTGTTTGGACTAAGACTGACAGCACAGTTTTTGCCATCTTACGAATTTTAAAGCATTTTAACAACTGACTAGAATTTTTTGTAAAAATCTCGTATAAATGATTTTTCATTTTATTGCTATTTTTATATTTCAGTCTCTTTGTCATGGAGATATTAAAGCGGAAAATGTATTGATCACCTCTTGGGGATGGGTACTTTTGGCTGATCCAGCTCCATTTAAACCAGTTTGGTTACCATCTGATAATCCGAGTGAATTTACACATTTTTTTGACTCATCACGTCGACGTGTTTGTTATTTAGCACCAGAACGCTTTGTCGAAGTACACAGTTGTACAACGACAACTGTTAGTACCACTATCACAACCACCACTCCAACTGTTACTGGTTCCGAAGCAACAAATCTGGACAGCCTTTTGGAAGAAGTAACTATATGCTCTGAAGAAACAAAAAACGTAAAATTGGAGTAATCCATGATTTTTACAATAAGTGTTGTCCACATTAAGGAAATATGTTTTTCCCATAAGTTTATTGAGATTCTCCCCTAAAATTTTCTCCAATTTTTCTTGGCCTAAAATTATGATTTGAAATTTAGTAAAAGCTTTATGCTATATGTAATAAGTTAGTAATTTTTTATTGGTTTCCTGAGTAATTTTCCCGAAACCATATGTAATAAGCAAACAGTCTATTGAATCGAATCCATATCTTATTCACATATGAACAAGTAATTTTAGGAATAAATTAACTGATTCATTGTTATTAAGAACGGTTAATTATAGTAATAAGATTATATGGTTAAGTTATATGTAATCGTTAATTTCAACAAACTTCTAATACCGATATAAATGACTTGTTATTACTTGTGCTTTGGGATATAGTTTGAATGTAATAACAATACTTATAAAATAACTGATTCCAACTCCCTAATCAAATCCAGTCCAAAGTATGTTTTTTTTAATAATTGTAAAATAATGTAATTGCTCGCTTATCACGTACTACTTGACTTAAAATGATTTTGTTTATTCAATGTTTTACCCAAATATGTTGTTATTATTATCGTACACTTATATCAGTTGCAATTTGATCATAGAAAAAAAAACTAAATGTAATCATCAGAAGGGGTTTGTGGGGAGTTTAGAAATTTCACAGATTGAAATCATGAGTCAGTTGAAGCTAGACCACCATGGAAAACCTGGAAGCACTGGACGGCCGTTTCGTCCTAGTATGGGACTCCTCAGCAGTGCGCATCCACTAACCCGCACCCCGCTTCAACTGACTCATGATTTCAATCTGTGAAATTTCTAAAATCTCCACAAACCCCTTCTGATAATAATCATCTCACTAGTGACTGACTTCAAGAGATACTCCTGGAGTTCTAGTGAGAAGCCGTTACCAGTGGAGTTCAACCAGGTCTGTTGTGAGATATCAGCTCACTGAAGATAATGGTATACGGTGGCGCAACTTCGTGGATTGGTTGAAGTTAGACATTAACACCGTTGGATACCGGCTCAGTGGTCTAATGGTTAAGTGCTCGCGCGAGACTGATAGGTCCTGGGTTCGAATCTCGCGAGGTGTGGTATCGTAGATGTGCACTGTTGAGGAGCCCCATACTAGGACGAAACGGCCGTCCAGTGCTTCCAGGTTTCCCATGGTGGTCTAGCTTCAACTGACTCATGATTTCAATCTGTGGTAAATGTAATCAACCAAAAATGTCCTTTTAGGTCTATTCTATATATGTAATGTATGATTTTACAACCTATCAGTGATATTCACTTTATTGTAATTGATCAGTTAAATCTTCAAAGTTTATACAAAAGTTGTAGAGTGATATTTTGAATCTCTTTGTGTAACATTCAAATGTAAACTTAAGTTATATAAATTCAAAAACTGTTACTGTGTATTTACTTTAACTGTCACTTAATAAATTTAAACTAAAGTGTTGTTTAGATGAACATGTAACTCACTTAATCATTAATTCACATTTCCCTGTAGTATAATAACTATTTTCTTTATAATTAAATATCATCCAATCAATCATTACAAAACTGATTGTAAAGGTCTGGAGTGTTGTTTAAAAAATAAACCAAACAAGTTACTCCTAACGGCTGCTGATTCATTTTGTAGCAACGGACATAAAATGGACCTTAAAGTTGAAGAGTTTAATAAGCAACTGGTTAATGCGTTGTTCGTTGTAGACCATTGGTAATCTCCAGCATAGAATGAAACCGATATCGTTTTTAAAATCACTTCATCTATTTCATCTTAATTGATTCCTTTCCTCTTACTACGTTTTTTCTTCATCTCTAGAATGTAAACATGCTTGTAAATGTGTGTGATAATACTTTGATAAAACCTACTACGGTAAACGAATCGAATCCTTTAAACAAGGAATACAATATCGAGTCTGATAAACAACAACTCACCGTTGAAATTTCCGATTTGAGTAGTAATAATAACAACTTCTCTAAAAGTGAATCGTCTTATTTGATTGCGAATTCCAGTGAATTATCTACCCAACTCAGTGTAACCTCATCGCCTTCGCTCATCTTAAACACTGAAGACTGTGATACACAAAATTCTAATGATGAAGTGATTGATTTAAAGCAACGAGCAAAGTTTATGACGTCAAATTTACTTGACTTAGATTGTCATTTAACACCAAGTATGGATTTATTTTCGATTGGGTAAGTTCGTTTTTTTGTTTAAAAAACGTTTTATACTATTGTTGTTGACTGGTAAATGTTCCCATCGGTAGTCATTTTTGTTGGAGATGGAAAAAAAAGGTAAACAGTGTTGTAATATGCAACTAATCTGTGGAGAGTTAAGAAATATGCTTACTTACATCTGTTACCCTTCGTGGAGGATCATAGGTCGCCCACCAGCACTCTCCATCCAACTCTGTCCTGGGCAATCCTTTCAGGTTGCCATTAATCCTTTTCATATCTGCTTCCATTACCCGACATAGTGTGTTTTTCGGCCTTCCTCTTTTCCAATTTCCTTCAGGATCCCATGTTAGGACTTGCTTTGTGATGCTGTTTGATGATTTTCTCAATGTATGTCCTATCCACTTCCAACGTTTTTTTCCTAATTTCCTCTTTTGTTGGAAGCCCGTTTGTCCTCTCGCACAGTAGGTTGTTGCTGATGGTATCTGGCCAACGGATATTGAGTATCTTACGTAGACAATGGCTCATAAATACTTGTACCTTTTTGATGATGGCTGTAGTAGTTCTCCATTAAGAAGTATGGAATTGCATTAAAAGTCAAGATGTACGGAAAGATAAAGAATGAACATTAGCTTCCTGACCAACCGATTTCAAATCACATTACTTAATGCTTATGGCTATTGCTTTGTGATTACCACGCTGACCACAGCTAGGAAGTTTTCACTTTACCACACACCTTAGTTCAACGGTCAATTGCTGGATGGGTTGGAACTGAGTAATTGCTTGATTTCTACTAAGTTGTCTTAAATACCACTTCTATGGTAGCCATTAAAAGTTAAGGTAAGCAGGGTATAGTACATCCTCCAACTACCTGAGTCAAAAAAATGTTTGTCATGGTTCATTAACTTTCATATCCATGTAAAAAGTAAGATGTCTTCTCGATGACTGTAAAACTGGTCTCCACAAGCTAATAGTTAGCCTTTTCCAAACTTTCATATCTTAAAACTGTTTAATAAAGATTCTATCTTTTTTAAAAAGCTTCACAATATAACAGCACCACTATATTTTCTTCTTTGGATTAAATATCCAGTTGTTGTATCGAACTCTTGGGGATTTCGTAGAAATAAAATTCTTAGGTGCGTGTGTGGTGTATACACTGTAACACTGGTCCTGAAGTTTAAACTACTTTAGCAAGTTTCCAAATAATTCAAATCATAATGGAGGGCAAAATCCATGTGAAATGAAGATTGGCTTCATAGATTGTAAGGAGTGGTTGTTTTTGAAGTTATCAAGTAAATTGGTAATTGTTAGAAGGACGTGAGAAAAGGGGAATATCAGTAATTATTATTGATCTAGTTATTTCAATTAATCCAAAGATTATTTGTACGAAATTTGTTTTATATCGTTGTTACATGCTCCTAACTGTAGACTGTATTTTAAAAAATTAATAAATTTAGTTTTACTGATCATAAATAACAGTCTTATAAATTAAAATGAAAAGTCGAAGTTTTCGTGATGTACTGATCGTCTGCAATAGATAACAATAGGATGTGAGGTGTTATTTTCGTGGCGTTAAACAAATAACATTCAGATGTCTCTTTTCTATAATATTCACTGAATCGTGAATGATACCATATCAGTTAGTCTAAGAAAAAGGACGTCTAGTGGAAACCATTACCAATATAATAATATAAGGTAACAAATATTATATAATAGTCAAATAACCTTTATCTTACTGAAATTATCAGTTACGTGTTCACAGTTAATCATCATTTTCTGGAGGGGACAATAAACATCTATATGCTAAATTTCGACAGATTAAAATATTCTTTTTGAAACTCTTCTTAATTTTCCCACCCAAGTAGCTTATATTTCCCATGTAATTTATAATCTAAACTTTTCAATATTACATTCAGAAATGATATCAATGAACTGGGATAACTTAAAGTCATGTATCTCTCAGATTAATCACATGACTTCACTAGCTGACTTGGAGTTAAATCTGCAAACGTAATCATAACATTGTTTACTAATTAATCAATTATTTCGAATGTTCAACATGTCTCATTTCCATTATGTTTAATATTTAGAGTATTTAATATGCTCGTATCACATTATTATTATTATTATTAAATTTTATAGGTGTGTTCTGTTGGAATTGTTTACTGATGGATCAATAGCCTTCACATTGGCCGATTTACTGGCCTACAGACGAAATGATCAAAGTCGTCTATCGAAACTTTTAGAACAAGTTCCATGTGAACATGCTAAAGTAAATGTCAACTTAATTACTTTGAATATAATTTAAAACATCAGGACAGAGAAAATAATTTGACCATATATGTGTATGAGGTTTATTGATCCAATAAATTGATGGTCATGTTAGTTATATACAATCAGTATAGATTTGTAAATATATTCCCGTCAGTTCATTCAATAGTTGATGCGGTCATATGTTTTCCTTTCAAACTGACAGCCACGTGGAGTTGTGGTTCAGTGCTTATTGCAGTTTATTCCTATTCACTAGTTTATAAATTTAACTATCCTAGTAGTGTAGCAGTATCATACAACTATCCCAAGGTTGCGACCCGGGCTCGACTCCCGGCCGGCGCACGGCCTGCCCCCAAATGCCTTGGTACGGTCGAGAGTGGGGGGAGTCATCTCTCCCTCTCGAAATGCTCTCACATGGCCACGTGCATACAATCACTTCCAGGGAGGTCCTACTCACTGCCTTATCGCGGCGGGGGTGTTGTTTACGAAATAAAGAGGACGGGAAGCGAATGTCCGGCACTTTAATCAGGTTGGTGGACATGGAGATTCCACCTAGGGAAGTTGGACAACCCCGATTCCAAACCAATGGTCACATGGGCTCCAGTATCCTGAAGGAACAAATGGCTTATGAACCAATCGTTGGTCACCGGCTACCATGGGATTGCATCTCCTGACGTTGCTCCACTGCCTTGTGGATTAGACCTTCAGGTCGAAGGCTCCGGGCGTGGCCGCCTAAGGAAACCACCTGCTTCGGTTTGGGCACCCGGGCATTATCACAGACCTCACACTCATCCTCTATTAGTTGTCTAGCTTGATGTACTGTAAAACAATATTTCTCCTACCCAAACAGTCTATGTAACTGAAGATCACTAAAAGATGGATTAATGATCTTCAAATGACATTATCTTATCGGTCGGGGAAGTTGCTGTGGTTAAATTCTGTGAATTTGATTAAATCAATACATAATATCATTCTCCCACTGTACCTCATATGTCTTTTGTTTATGTTCGTCTTAAGCTTACATCTCTTGTTGTCCTATAGGTTGCATTCATTTTTTCCATCCGCTGATTTTATTTCTTTTATTTCCCTTCTATTTTCGGTATCATAGCTTTCTCGCCTTTGATCGTCTTTTAGTTTGTCTTTCATCATGAGTCATATGTAAAGTATTGAAATACCTCGACGTTAGGTTCAACGCCTTTATAAGGTATCAAACCTCATAGATTAACTTTCCTTCATTTTTGTCTTTTATTAATTTTACTCCTATTCACTAAGTGATTTTATGTCAGGTATCAGTTCAGTCTAATTTACTGCCTTTCATTTTATTACAATTTTATATGAATTTAATGTTTTGTGTAATTCTAGTTTCTAATCTCTACCTTGTTGTCATTGGACAAAGAAGAACGCCGTACAGCTGCCGAACATTTAGAACAACAACGAGGCAAAACTTTTCCAAGTGTCTTTTATACACATTTGACACCATATCTTCAAAACTTTCTGAACCCAACACTTAATTCTCCTGATTCAAGGATATCATTTCTTAAACTGTGAGTTATATATATATATATATATATATATATATATATATATTAGTACAGAAGTTTTCCTACATTTATTTGAATACAAAAATATTAATGAGACTATGGTCATGTGATAGTTTATAGTCTTAAACTACTATACACACTTTTGAACTCTTGTTGATCCTAACGAAGAATGATTACCTACCAGAAAAAGCGGAAAATTAAGAGTAAGTTGTAAATAACAGATAAAAATGCCGATAATGAATGAATGTGAACTGTTTCAAAATGCTAAACATAGTGTTTCATGAATAGTTAATGTACTTTGTATGCATGATGATTGAAACAGGATATTGTAGACATGAATCGTTCTAATTATAAACTTTTATGTAACTCATTAACCAGTGTCATCTCGTTTACTGTTCATTAATTACAGTAAGATAAATAGAAATTTGTTACTCAGATTTGTACCATAAAAGTTTTTGTGATGTACATATTATGATTTATCACATCGTTCGTCACAATCTTGCATTTTATGCATATAATCATGCGAGTCTTTGAGTCTGAATAATACACTGTGTTTGGATTTTTTGTGTTTTGATTGGTAGATTAAAAATAGATGTGCATTATGCGAAGGAATTCGAGTACTAACACATACAGTTAGTGTGTTATGGGACCCAGTGGTATAGTCATAGCAGTTTTCTTGATAACATCGAGGCTGAATATTCATGAAACAATCCGGTAACTTTTTTAACGTTCAATAAGTAATCGACAGGTTACAATACAGTCACACTTCAGAGAAGGATTTATTTTATTCTGATGGTTCACATTATTTGTCAGTAAATTTTTCTTATCGCATTTATCTGCTTAAATGAAGATTATTAGAACACTTATAAGTTCTATTCGATCTTTTCACTTACAGTTAATGAGAGTTACACTTTTTTACTTAGTTGTCAGCAAGGTGGATCCTTTCTGTAAGATTATTCTCACGCTCAGTTACCACAATTTACGTCGATGTTGTTGATTCAACTATCTTTATCACTACATTTCATCTTTTACTCGCTATATCTCCCAATTTCCAGCTTTCTGAATGCCTTATCTCCGTTTTTCTGTCTTTACAGAACTATTACAAATTTCCTTCAACAGGTTACCGATTCAGGGCCAGAAAATTTAAGTACTGTTGCTGTTATTATATGCAATTTAATTATTGGTGTTCTACGACCTACATCATATAGTCAAAATACACAAACTCCAATCACAGCTGCCGATTTACCAACTTTAACGCAAATTAATAGAATTAATACTACTGATCCGTTTTATTCAATACGCAACAATTTGCATACCTCTGATAAAAAAGGATATTCAACACAATCAAATCGTTTAAGTGAAACTGGTAAAATTAATGCATTAATATGTTTGCTCGAGATTGCTAACCATATGCAACCAAATTTGTTAATGGATCGTGTAATACCTTATTGTATGGAATTAACAACATTATCACATTCTGGTGAGGTACGCAGCTTAGCTATTGAGTCATTGACACATATTTTCAAATTAGTAATACAGAAATGTGAAAAAATTAATGAATTTGCATCATTTTTGGAGGAGACATTCTTAACTGAATATCTTTTTCCTAATTTAGCACCTCTTAGCATAGATCCTAAGCCAGAAGTTCGGTTAACTCTGGCACGATGTTTACCTATACTGGCAACATGCTCTTTAAAGTTAGTCTACTATAAATTGTTTAATAAATATTTTGGTTACTTGATTTTTATGTTGATGTACACATTCAACTTAAAATTTTATCATGAAATTACTAAAAAAATTGTTTAACACAACACAGTAGAGAATAGTTCAGTAGGTAAAAAGATTATAGTGATAATCGAAATGATATAAAAAAACGGAAGAGGCGAAAAGATAGAAGATATATATATATATATTAATAAATCATCTGATTTATATGGACTTTTAACTTCCCGGTGTTAATTTTAAAGACTAATTTATCAGTCTCTACGGCATATGTACATCCTGAGCGGATTGCGTCGTCATTGTTATTTGGTCACAAGATTTTATCAAAGTAACACGGTGATTAGGTTTGCTATCCACGACTCACATTTTGTCCTGTTCCGGACTCGTCAACTAAATGTACGTGTATCTTAGTGCTGATGTTCACACTGATATCTGTACATCTTCTTGAATGTAAATAACCATGAGTTATGTCACAAAACGTTGTAAATTGTGCTAAACTATTCTCAAAAGAATTTCGGTCTGAAAGCCTACACTTTATGTCTAAGATTATATATTAATTCTTGTTTCCGGCTAACTTTTTTTAGCGAGTTAGTTTTTCTATGCCTAACCCCCCTCTTCTATCCGGGCTTGAGACCGGCAGTAGCCCCAGATGGGCTCCAGGTGGATATATATATTAAAATTTTAAGACAGTGCTTTAATTAATTTTCTAGTTGTTTTAGTCGCCCCACACAAAATCTAGTTATCTTGAAAATTTTTCGTTTGGTAGATATTTATCAAACGCTAGTAACTCCTCAAAGCCATTACTCACTGAGTATGTTTGATTTTCATACACTTATCTTTCAATGAAAGTTATTTGTCAAGCACATGTTTAACTACCGGACTTTGAGATTTGCTTTATGTGTTAACCGATGTAAGTGGAGTACTTAAAAGTAAAGTACTTTAAGCACTAAGCTACCATTATACACTTGTTTTTAGCTTAATCACTATAAAAAGACCACATAAATATGACTGGTGCATCCGTTATATATTTTTTCATATTAAAAGAAATGGCAGTTTTAATTAGAAACAGTTAATTAAGAATTTCCATTTCTTTAGAAATAAATTAATGATGTTCATCCGAATTCGTATTAATAATGGAAAGGCATTTAATAAGATTAGTTAATATTTATAAATGACAACGATTACTCACCAGGTATGTTTGGCAATTTGAACTTATAACTTTGTCACAGTAGCTAAATTTCAGGGTTCAGATGTTTCTGTATTTTATCCTTTTGGGTTAACTTTGGAATTTTAGTTAAACGTTACATGGAACATTAGTTCCGATGGAAGATAAAAATGAACACATTTGTATTATTGAGATGGATTATGGGCTATGTTGTTTAGCGGTCCTAACCTATGACATGGCTAAAGATATCCGCATTTTTGTATTTAGGTCAAAATAGTTTGATAATTTCCACTTATTTACGATAAGCCGCACAGTTGTCATGGTTACTAAGACTTTATTCTTCCTTTCATGTTTCATTCGTAGTTTTTATTACTATCCTGTTTTTTTTCTTACATATATATATAAAGGTTTCTCAATATCATAACAAAGTTGCGTTCCGAGTCAACTGATGTCAAGAATAAAGTGAGTTTAAGTACCTTTTGTTCGTTTCTTCTTTTTTAGTATACTGTTATTTCCTCTTTTTTAAATTCTTATCTTAATATTTGAATTAAACAGTATTATCTTGATGTTTAGGACTGCAATTGATCTGTATCTTATTGGCATCTGTGCATCTTGTGAGGATTACCTGAATACTGCCTTAAGTCACATGCATTATAAGCAAAGATGGATGGTAGATAGCAGTGAAATCCAAGACGTGCGCTTCGTCCCATTTGGGACTCGTCGGCTGGAGGTATATGTATATAGGTATATATATATATATATATATATATATATATATATATATATATATATATATATATATATATATATAGGTTTTATTAAATACAAAGTTTTAAATGCTGTAAATTGTCAAGTTGTATTACCCTTAAATAAATAAGACAATTTATCTTCTTTTTTTTATAAAAATATTTCTCATCATCTACCATCAAAACAAGTCTCCTGATTTTGTACATGATTGTCAAAGTGATCATAAAACTGCTGACAATTATTTGTCTATTTTAAGATTACATATACAAGAAAGATTAGTTGCATTACTCTCCGATCAACATCCACATGTTCGTCTTGGTCTAATGAACACAAATGGTTTGTCATGTTTAGCATCATTTTTTGGTCGATCCGGTACAAATGGCACATTGTTATCACATATGATCACATTTCTAAATGATAAAGTAAGTGTTAGGATTATAATCTTTGTTTAATTCACTATTAAGTTATGTATGTTATTTAATCTAATACTTGTTGTGGCTCAAGTAATATAAATACTTCAGATTTGAATTGTTATTTATAGAGTAGACTTGAATCGGCGTTTGTTATGATTTATGACCCTGTCAAATATTACGTGACGAAACCGCCAATCAGAGTATCAATTTCTATGGCTTTGTCCCTGAATTAACCAATGACACCCCAACCAGCACTAGTAGCCGTGGTTCAACTCTAAGTTCTGATTGGTCCTCGATAAAGTAGCATCTTGCCTTGGCCTTCCCATTGAGTCCAGAACACAAAATCAGTTTCTGCTATACGGCTATCCTATTTCAGACAAATTTACAAGCAAACTATATCGCATCACACTATAAAGTGAAAAATAATATTTATGCAAGTAGCTGTAAGTAGAGGAGACTGTTAAGAATATATTGGGAATAAATCAAGAATAGTACATCATATAATAGTAGTTAGTGGGTCAAACGAAAGCTTATGATAAAAGGAATATGAATATGTAAAATTTAGTTACTTAGTAATCATAAAAAAGGAATCTATTCAATAATAATCCATAGATCAAACCTGGAAGTTACTATCCATTTTGCTTCGCCGGATATAACACCTATTTTCCCATTGTCAGTTTAAATGTTTTCATCAATAAAGTCTATAGTCTATAACAATTTATCATTATTCGTTCTCATTGCTTCACAGTAATTTATCAAATTTTGGGAAATTATGGTAGCAAACTAGTTCACAGTGGTACCATTTATTTATACTAATCAGAAACATTAGTCATGCATTAATTGTTCCGCATAAAATATTGTAAATGAAATTGTTGTTCTGGCTTCTAATACTACAAGATTACTTATTTAAGTAACAAAGTTTCACTTTATCTGATTTTTTGTAATCCTTGGTTTTTTTTGACGGACTCAAGAACGGTTCCCAATACTCAAGTTAAATTAGGTGCCTTATATTAATTAGATTGTAGTGGCTTAACTTTGTTAATTAATCTTATCTTGATAACTGTTATTGCATGAATCGCAAAGGTGTTTGAAATCAGAAGGCAGTAAGAAGCAGCGAGTACAGTTTATTAGCGGATAGCACAGATAGCAAAGTTATAAGCATAGCGAGCGAATACAGAGGCTAATTTGTAGTCAAATAGAATCAAGGCTCAGCGAGGCAAGGTCAAATGTTAATATTAGGATTCAAGTATATATATATATATATATATATATATATATATATATATATATATATATATATATATATATATATACATGGAGAATGATTCATCGAGCGATACTTAAGCGATTAACATTTAAGCTAGAGAAAGATATATGTGTATGCTGTCACGTGATGAAGCTTACACGTATATACACACAAGATAGTGATTATAATAGTATAAAGAAATAGACAAGTTGTTACTGCTCGAATAATTACCGTTGTTATAATCCCCTTTACTTATACATCATTATTAACGGTGAGGTGATTACATCTATAATTATAAAGTTAGTAAGAAAAAGATGATCAAATAATGTATTTTTCTTCCACAATAATTTGTGTTTCAGTCATTTTTACAAAGATGTTTGGATTGAAAATAGTTCGACGAAAAAAGTCTCTTTTTAACAATATCATTTTTTTAAGTTGTACAATCATATATGTAACTCTTTACCCTTAACAGTCTAGTTAGATTTATTCAACTAGTGAGTGTAAAAGTCTATGAAAATGAAGTAGTGTTGCATCATTGAATAAAACGATCAAAGGTTACTAAGACATAAAGTTACGTAATAGTTTATGGAAGAAATGCAAGACCACTATCTTATTTACAAAGGAGAAAAAGGAAGTGAAGAACAAGATTATAATTAGCACTTACGTTTTATAAAGTTAGACGGAGTGTTAAAACCATGGAAGTATCATTGATTGAACATAACTGTTTTGTACAGAGGTCTGGTAAATTGCTAGAGCCTAACCTGGACATAAATTCTACGAGTCGCGACCGACCTCCTATAGGACTGATATGTAATCACAATTGGTTGACCACTGGGTGGTTATCAATATCATGTGTGTCAAGTCCTTCTTAGTTCGGATCGAATGCTATCGACCAAGTTGCAGTGTGGTCACTAGTCTAAGTGACTCGACATTGCGTGCACTATGCTGAGATAAGATGATGGTTGGAGGTAGTTGGGTCGGTCGCGGCCCTTATAGCCCAGTGGTAACGTCCCTGACTGTGAAGCTGGGTGACACGGGATCGAATCCGTCAGGGAGCACCAGTCCCCTCAATATTACAGGTACACATTGCTGACGAGTGCCAAGTAGCACGAAACCTGGGTCCAGGGTTTCCTGTTGACTACCTCCAACCACCATCTTATCTCAACATAGTGCAAGCAATGTCCAGTCACCTAGACTAGTGGCCAATTTTATTAAATAAACATCCCAAGCCTTCGGTGTTACTCAAGAACGAAATCAGAATCGTCATCTCTTTTACCAATTAAATTTTCCAATGACCTTTCTTATCCCCTCCCTAAAATATTACTAATTCTTTCATATTTTTAAAGTTCGTTAAAAGTTGAGTTATTCACATCTTACTCTGTATAAAGAATTTTGAAAATTAGCTTGACTAATACTTTTTTGTGAACTGTTTACGTTTTAATATGTTGTTATTGTGTTTTTTTCAGCAGCTTGTTGTAATTCTAAAGCGTTTCCTTATTATACTGTATGCTGTCTTTTTTATATTCAAAGTGTAAACCCGAATTACGAGCTGCATTTTTTCGACAAGTTTCTCCTTTGGCAACATTGACTGGAGCACAGTTTGTTACAATTCTTCGGTCATTACTCGAACAGGGTTTAATAGATCCTGACGATATGGTTATTGAAGAGTGTTTACACTGTCTAACTAATCTTTTACGTAGACGATTGCTCAGTGCACCCATTGCAGTTTCATTTTTAACTCGTGCTTTAGCATTAACCGCACATCCATGTTTACGAATTCGTCAAGGATCTGTGGCTTATATTACATCTTTTGCTCGACTAGCTGTTAACTTTACTGAAAAATCTCAATCACGAGTTCTAACTGAAGATGAAGACACTGTACCTATGGTACATCATTTTTGGCCAGGTATTTGTAGTCCTGCAAGTGTTTATGCTCGTTTAGTTAATATTGAAGTTAAGAAAACTATTTTTCGGTAAGTCATAGTATCCAAAAATATAATAGTTTTTTTAAGGCTGAATTATTTTGTAATCTATGGCATTTTATGTTAACATTTATCAGTTAAATCCTTTCGGATTATTTCTTTTGTTTATGTGATAAGAGTTCTCTCAAGAAGCTTTTTACCAATCAGTTAGTCATTTAAAATGACTAATTGCTAATGTATCCGATTATTTGTCTTCGAAACAATTCTGACATATAGTGTACGCACCAAGTAAGGTATACTGGGGTTATTCCCAAGATACTAGATAGAGATGATGAATGATTAGGGTAAGTCTGAAAACCTCTACGGACCTATCGGGTTAATACTTTTGTAGCAAATGTTTAGCCATCATTTTCTTTTATGTGCGGTTGCTTAAGATTAGGCTGAAAGAAAGTTAGAAATGACTAATTGAGGACACGGCATCGGCTCATTAAATTGTGGATGATCCATTTAAGCCATGCTGATAGATATAAAGTTCCTGGTTAAAGTCAACGTAGTATTCGTGATTAATGGTTAGATACGTTGAATTAATTGAGAAAGTTTCTCATCCCTTTTTCCAAGTTCTCGACGAATTACTTCACTTCGAGTCACATATTTTGTCTATATGAGGTTTGTTAATGATATGTGATCGATCAGACTAAATCAAATAGAGTGGGTTTGTGCAGAATCAGATTGGTTTAATTAATACTCCTAGTGCTTTGGAAGTTCAGTTGAATATGATATATACATGTTAAATATGAATTGTTATTTAGTTACACTATAAATATACTCCGTTTTTAATTTATGTGATTGAGCACTGTACGTCAGCATGTATAATCTCATACAGTTATTTAACAAATTTGTGCATCAAGACGTACTGATATATCAAGCAGAATTTAGATAAGGTTAAGTCATGGACCTGTAGTCTGATTATACTATTATCTCCAATCTATAACCTGTAGTGTTCTGAGTATTCTATCGTGGTGGTTTAATATTAATTTAATATTAAAGAAAAAGATTACAGTTGATTCTTGAATTTAAATGATTCCTAAGTTTTTCTCTACATTTTCATGTAATAAATGGTGAACAGATTTCATTTTCAATCCAGAATAATCATGTAAAGATAAGTTCCTTACTTATATGTGCATACAATATACTTACTTATTTTTTTGTGTGTTATTCTTTGGAATTGAATTTAGGCGACCTGTAAACTTTTGTTTTACAAATGATGCGGTCCTTTTGCATAGTTTACATCCACCAATTAGTCGAACTGTTCTAGAAGCTTTAGTATTTATGTCATATTCATCTAATTCTATGCAACAATTAACATCCAAAGATTCTCAGTTGTCCCGTTTAGATAGACTAAATCAGATATTGAAATTATTTCAAGAAAGAAAATCGTCACGTGCTGTAACAAGAAGTGGTGAAACACCTTGTTATACTTCACCTAATGTAAGCATTCTTTTTTCATTGTGAGGAGGTTGCTTAAGTTTCTGCATTTGTTTTTTTGTGAATTTCTTTTGCCATTTATTTTATTATAAATCATGTTTTCATTTAATGTAAATACATTAACATCGAAATTTCATGTGGATTAAGTGATTACGTTGATAATTTTGCACAATGACTGTAGCAATAAATTGTACCGAACAAACTGAATTGATATTCATCAAGGGTCTGATAGATAGTAGTAAAAAATTCTACTCATTGTGTTTATCTGACTTATTAATAGATGGATGCAACATTACAGAATCGTTCAAAAATTGTACTATACTTAAGTTATTATACCTTTTAGTAGTAAGAAGATTAATGTGGTATGTTCAATTAGCAAAGAAATATATCAATATATAACGTACAACTACAGACAATGTAATAAGATTTTCACGACAATTCATTGTGATACTGGTCTATGTTGAGCTTTCTACGATGATAATTCCATCAAATTCCGATAATCTTCATCTCATTGCATTATCGAAATTTACCAAATGAACTAATTATTTTAACTATGATTGATTAATATTTTATTTCATGATCACAATTATAAATCCCTTTTCCTCAATCTTGGCTGATATTTTTTAAGCTTTACTCATTTCACTTAGTCAATTTAATTATTTTTACAATTCTTATTGCACAACGTTTAACATTAGTAAACAATGATGTTTAGTGTCTAGCACTGAAATCCAAGGTTCGCGTTTCGTCCTATTTGTGACTCGTCAGCTGGATGTTCCTGCACCCAACCCATCAAGAAGCACTACCTAGTTCTACAAATAGCAATATAAAGGAATGCAATATTAGTGGAGTAACAACTTTGATCATAATAATTAATTTTCACAAGTCAGATTGTCTTTTCTAGTAAAGAAAAAAGGTGCAAGTTTACATATATACATATATATTAGGAGTCGGGTTACTGTTGTGAGTTAGAGTTATCATCTTATAGAGTTTCCGACACCAACTGACGTCAGTTATAATTCAAAAACGGTATGTTTTGGTATTAGGAATCGAACTGAAGTTTTGATTTAGATTTACGAATTGAGGTCAGTGTTTTCAATACCAACTGACATAAACTATAGGACAATATCTTACCACCTTCTTGCTTATCAACTTGAGATTTAGAGTAAGAGTAAGAACGCCAGAACATTATCTAGCTTCACCAGACACACCCATAAAGTACTTTAGCACACAAAGTGCCTTAGAAGCTAGTATGTTATGTACTTCAACTTAATCTCGATCTAAAATTCATTTCCCAGTTGCATAACAGTTATTATCATTGACTTCAAGGATTTTAAGGACCAAATTTTCACAATTTTCGCTCGGACAATAATATCATACACGTTATCGCTGCATTTTAAACTTCTCACAAAATACGTGAGGCGTTGTCTTAACTCTGTTTTGTTAACTCAAGATCGTCATTAACCACATTCATTATGTTTTTAAGCTCTTATCAGTTTTAAATGTATCAATAGTTGATTAATTTTTTCGGTGATATTATGTTCTCTAAGTCAAAGGGTCTAATTGTATATCTTTCGCTGTTGTTTTTGGTCAACGTCATCAGCATCTACTTCCATATGGTGGTGATGCAGTCCGAACAACAGAACTTACCTGGTTATTTGGAAAACATAGTACATTTCTGAATCAATATTTATTGTTGTTTTTGTTGTGATATATATAGTCTTTTCATAGCATTGTTTATGAGATCACATAATATCGGTGATTTACATAACATGAATTGTTTGTATTGTGATCTCGCCTCCTACATAGCTAATATAAAATTCACATACTCTACTATTATAATTGTCATGTGATGGATAGTTCACCCACAAAAATACCCACATTCCTCTATCTCTAATAATAGCACAATTATTCAGATAAGTGGTCACTTATACCTTTATTATTTAGGCTCGTAATTCATGTGACTATAAAGGTAAAATATCAGACCACAACATACCACATTTAATCAATGAAAATAGGCATATGACCAAAAGATTTTTTGAATCCGAAGCAGAATAACCGAGTCCTAGTTAATTGGCAGTAATTTTATGGACGGCCGAATCATAAAGCAATAGTCAACATGCCAATAAAGATTATGGTTAGAACTACACAAGAATGTCATAAAACATATGTTTGATAAGCATTCATTAAAAATATACAGTCCGACTTTACCAAACTGTAGCTGCTCACGTTTCATATTTCCTTTTTTTTCTCTCTATAACCTTTATATCTCAAGTATAAAATCTTGTTATCAGAAGCTAAGTTTCATTTTATTTGGATTCTGAACCTATAAACTGTAGTTCTTTCGACTTGATCAATTCTATATTTGAGTGTTTCTTTCCTCCTGATAAGTTTTTCTCATGTCATCTTTCAAAATCCCAAAGATAATAATGGCTTTATGTCAAACTTTCAGCTTTGAATTCAGTAGTTACCTTCTAGAGTGAACTAAAATAATGATTGTTTTATAGATTAGATTTGCTACGTTGTAGCGAACGAGAACATCAGTAGGGACAATCAAATGTATTTGAACACAAAATTACAGAATATCTTAGTAAAATCTGAGAACCATATAGCAAATATTTAATTTGCAAAATGTAGATCGATTGTCTCAAACTTGATTATTCCTTCGTTTCCATACCAATCATTCTCTGTTCTCGTTCTCTTCTTATCGATCTTCTTAACCGTCTGCCGCCAGACATTTGACTTTCGATTGGTGATACATCCTACTTATATCAGTCGACATGAGGAGCACACACCACAGCGTTTCCTGATGGATATTCTGTTCTTCATCACTTTCAATTTTTGTGGATGTCGTGGGTTTTTTTCCGTCTCTGCCTACATTATAATTAACAAACTACTTATCCGTACTTTATTCATCTGTTAACAATTATTAATGTAATCTTTTCGACTCATTTGTAAAGTGTCCTGTTGTGTTAATGATTACTTCAATTCTCGTTTATCGATTTTATGGTAATTATTAACTTGGAAAGAAATAAGATTCAGTTTGTATATATCAGTCGATAATACTTCATATAAATTAACTTATACTTACTCAACTTCGTGGAACTTAGATGTCTAACATTCATTTCTGCGGTCATCATTTGAATTTCATCCCGAAAAAACAATTTGCGAATATGAATATATATATATATATATATATATATATATATATATATATATATATATATATATATATATATTCTAGTGTTATTAATTCTAAAATCACACCCTCACTCCTATTTTACTCGACATTATTCTGATAAATCAAATTTCATCGGTAGCAATACTAATCACTCATTGAGTAATAACAAACGTTATTTTTTATCTTGTTTCTAGTCCTGTTGGAGTTCTCTCAATTTAGTTTCAGTATACCTTCTAATTTGAAAGATTCGACACTGGGTGTTCTGTTTTAATTTTAAGTGGTTTGAGATAGTTAGCAGTAGTAATGTCTCTGGTTTTGACATTATATGGCATGTGTTAAAATGCTAAAGGGATACATCAATTCCTTCAACCATGAAAACACACCTTGATGACACAGATCAACTAATAAAGTTCAGGGCCTCCTGCTTTGAATTGTCTAACTTCGTCATTAGTCCCTACATAACAAAACTGGCGAACTGTTTGATAAATTATCAGGTGTTTAACGAGTTCCTGGTTCCAGTTTATGGTTTAATAACATTTCTATTATTTAATCAATAGATAATTTACTATAACTCAAAGGACCGTATTGGATTTTGTTCACCAAGCTATAAATTGTATCTAGTTTCAAGGCCTCAATGATTAATAAATCAACAGTTACATTATTTATAAGCATAATGAGGTTTGAATAAATCTCTCTCTCAGTCATTATCAGCGTTAGTTCGATTATTTTTTTCTGTCTTATCTCTTTGTTTTTTTCTTCAGGATGAGTTCATTGATTCATTAATTTTAAAACTCAAATCGCTGGGTTTAACGGAATTAATGGAATCTCAGTTGGTAAATTTATCCAGTTATATTGTAAACTTATACCAAAACGGTCGTCCTCATAATGCTTTTCATTCATCTAATCCGAAACTTAATCATATTTTTCCAAAATACCAAGTTTACCCCATTGAAGACCGTGATAAAATGTTTCTAAGTAAGTGTCTCTAGGTCTTAAGTATTATAAATAAATAAAATTTTAATTTCGTCACTGGTTTACGTGGACTGAATACTTTATGTGATTATACCATTGATATCCAAATGTGCACTGCGTTCTACTTGCAATCCACAAATAATATATATCTATGTTTTCATATATCATTGCTCTTATTGAGATTAGAACTAACTAACCAGTGCTTTAAATATCAAATCGTTACGTGCTAGGTTGGTGGACTACGATAAACATCAGTTATGTTGAATTGGTTTCTTTATCTATTGAATATCTACAAAAGAATGATTTTGTTGTATGATTTATACTGTGTAATGTTAGTTCAGATCGTTAGCACAAGGGAAAAATATTGAACTGTCAGAATTCCGCTTAATTGTCTGGTATTTCAATGTTCAGGTTTCTGATCAATCGTTACTTGTTAATTCCATCGTCACTGTTGGCATATATTTGGACTAGCTTTCATCTTCAATATTATGGTCGTTCATCACTTTCTTTATATATTAATTGTTGGAGTTTATTTGATTCCATGATTTATTGATTAACCCGTATTTAATATCTGAGACCTCTTTCTGTAATGATTGTCCACATACATTAAGATGACAATAAGACATACCTTGATGTTTATCTGAACATATGCAAAGATAGCTATCGCTTTGTTCTATATGGTGTTTGATTTCTTGTTTAATCGTTGAATTTATTGTTTTGTACAATATCATACGTTAAGGAGAATATGTAAATTTGTAAATTACATTAATTTTGTGGGAGTTTACTACTAGTCTAGTTATGATTGGCAGTCTTTCTGTTTGTTTGTTTTTTGGAACGGGGGTTTATCGCTAATCAAAAATCCGAAAAATACTATATTTGGACATTTTTTCAGTCCTTGGTATGATATGTGATCACTTGCCCCGAATTTCCAGAAGAATGTTAGTTTTGTCTTAGCTTTAAGTGAGCCTCAGTGATGAGTGTCAACTAACTCAAAGCTTTGATCCATAGATGCATATCAATTGACTGTAACTACTTAACATTAAACAAAATATACTGCAAAGTCGAATCATTTAGCTTAATGGCTATATTTCAAACTGACCGGCAGAATTCGATTACCACTGAGGTGGTCTAGACAACATGGCATTGGTTATATTACTTAGTGAGTGATTTTTGCTAAACATCTGTTTTACAGAAGGACAATCGGGGTCCGATGAGTCTACTTTATATTTTATTATCATTATGAATGTATGTTTGTAATAGTTGTGCTTTACAATTTCCTTTTTTATATTTTAGGTTCACAACCTACAAATACGCAGTGTATTAATCCCAAAGATTTTCTAGAAGATCCTTCTCATTTACAATGGTAATTAAATTTTTCCTGTTTTTTTGTCATTTCGAAGCTTTACATTGTTAGTCTTTATTTTTAGATTGATTTTGGTTTGTGTTCTCCGTGACAGACATGCTTGATATCAGATCTGAGTAACCCTCATAAGTACATATCATCTTCCACGTCGTTTTATACAAAATACAATTAGTACTTTACATACCCCAAAGCTTAACGTCTGGTGACTTCATCACTTGTCATCGTTTCTGAGTACACTGAGTGAATTTTTACACTAAATGTCAAAGCAATAATTAATGTTTATTAATGCTTAATTTACTACAAATTTCGGTTGTAAGGATTCGAATATTGACGTTCTTGATGTTATGGACTTCAATTGATCAGTTTTTTTGGTTGTTTTGTGTCCTGAATGGATTGGCTTATTACTACTATCAACTCACACGCACTTTTAAGCAGATCTTCATGGCTACTGGAAGTGGAATTCAAGTCACTCGTTTTTCTTATTTGGAACCCTTCTGATATATGCACTTACACCTCAGTGCTGATGTTTGCACCAAGGCTCGAACCCAGTTCCCTTTGCTTTAAACACTATGCTTTCTATAACTATAGTTTAACCATATTTCCTTTATTTAATGTCATTTCCTTTCTTACTTTCATGTTTTAGGCTATTAAGTTCACCACTGAAACGTTATGCAAATCTCTTACGGGAACGTTTACTTTCTGGTCGTCTTTCATTACACCGTGATTCCTTTGATTCTGGGAAAAAAATTATTATTGGGCGTAGTTTAATCTTATCTCCACCGTCAACACTACTTAACACTGGTGGAGATAATTCTTCATATGCATCGACAAATACATCAAATACAAATTTAACAAAAATGGGCACAATCGGTACACTAGTACATGGTGAATTATTATCATCATCGTTTGCTGAAATGATTAATCCATTGTTTGGTATTCGATCAACTCCGAAAAATATGTTTGAAGTACAAAGTGAAATGCCTATTTGGCCAGAATCACGTCCTCAAGGTATTATGTTAGCAAATCTACAAGAGCATCGTGCGGGAATGATCAGGTAATTACGACGAGATTGCCCTCACTTGTCTTAAATAAGAAGCAACACTTATTTATTTAAAATATGAACTCCTGGTACATTTTAAAACAAGTCAGTCAGTTACAACGTAGGACCAGGCACATAGATGCATCGGTCCAAGTTGCCATACCTCATTTGCACAGCAGGACGAACAGCGGATTCATAAGAGCAGTTAACTTAATGGTGTAATATGTAAAAGAAAGATTTTATGTAAGGATATAATGTAGAAAGAAAGATATGAAACGATTTTAATCTCATAGTTCAAGGGAAGACAAAGAGTGTATACACCTAGGCCATTGTGACCGATTCTGAGTCATGTCACCCAGAGTCTCCAAAAAGCACGTCTATCGTAGTATTATCACTTTCACCTAATACCACTAACACTGGGTCCCTTAACACAGATACCATACGTGCTAGCGCTTCATTTCCTACTCATAATTCTGATCTGTTTTCAGTTTGTCGATTAGAACACCAGGAAAGCCATCAAAGCACCGTATATTATTCAGACTTGAAAACTCACTTGTTTGTATACATAAAATACAAGACTTTGACGAGCGATGAATAATAAATCCTAATATTTCTACATCATATATACTTTTATGGTGCAAATCTGAGTCACAGGTTTCTATTTAACTTACTGTCATTAATGAAAGTGAATGATATGGTAGTGATTAATGAGCTACATTAAAGTGTACGATAATAACACTATAGGAATAACATAAATTGACTGTTTAACAAATACACATTAAACGTATCGTTATTGATCTCCTGTTAGATAACTTTCACATTTCTCATTATTCGCTCAATCCTAACCAAAACATAATTATGTCAAGAACGTCTTATTGCTTATTATTTATTATTGTAAAGCAGGCCCTTAATACACACTTGCTATAGTATATTGTAAACCGACTCCCTTCATTTTTCTTTCAGTGAGTCCATTTGTCTGTAGACAAACCTAATTCGACGTTTAAATGAAGGTGGTTAATATGATTTCACCTATGGGAATCAAGAATTTTGATTATAAACCACTAGTATGCTTCCATTTATTGATCCTAAATGAAAAAATGGCATATAAACTCGTAGATATGTTTTTAGAATCATTCATTTCGAAGTCTTATCTGCTAATTTGTTCCAAGAACTATAGTTTGTTTATCCATCCTAGACAAATCAAGTGAACAAATAGACAACAGTACCAGTGTTAAGTCACTTATTCAACTAAACTCTCGCTTTTATCAAGCAGTTCAGCACTTAACTATCAATGTATGTACATCATAGTAAATACCTCCATGTTGTTTTCATGTAGTTCTTTTTCTGGGGTGTAAATTCGGTCATTCACTCATGTGTTGGTCTTTATCACAGTTTTGTTTTAACTTACATTATTACTCATAATTTTGTCTGAATCGGATTATTTCAAGCTGTTATAATGTACCTCATTTAAAAACGTGGATCAATAATAATAGTTAATTGATATGCTGATCCTCATGATCTTAACCATTGAAATTACTATAATATCCACAAAACCCATCTGATATTAATCAATATATGCTCACTAGTGACTGGCTTCACGAGGTATATCCTGGAGTTCTAGTGAGAAGTAGTGACCAATGGAGTTCAACCAGGTCTGTTGTGAGATAGTAACTCACTGAAGACAATGGTGGATGTGTCGCTCAACTTCGTGGATTAGTTGAAGTTAGACATTAACACCATGAGATGCCGGCCAGCTCAGTGTTCTAGTGGTTAAGTGCTCGCCCGTGAAACCAGTAGGTCATGGGTTCGAATCTCGCAGGGGGCGAGGTCGTGGATGTGCGCTGCTGATGAGTCCCACAATAGGACGAAACGGCCGTCCAGTACTTCCAGGTTTCCTATGGTGATCTAGCTTCAACTGACTCATGATCTTAACCATTGAAATTACTATAATATCCACAAAACCCATCTGATATTGATCCTATTTACAGCAATAGTTCTTAGTGTTTGAGTAACTTAAATAAATAACTTTAGTGTTAAGAGTTCTACAATGAAACAATAATCCTTATCTTTCGTTTTATAGGCACTGTAATTTGTAGTAGTCTGTTTCAGTAAATAACCTTTTTTATTCTCTGTAGCTCTTTCTCCTACTTAACTGCTGTCAGCTTAATGTGCTTTCTTGATACTTTATATTGTTTTCTATGCCACCTATACTAAAAAATCCAGCTATTTTACACTTCTATATCCTACGATTTTTAAAGCACGTTTCGCGTTAGATTAATAAGTTGAGAGGGGTCCCTAGACTTAGGTTTTGTGCTGGTTAGCACTTGTCGGCAAGACATTTTTGTAATTTTCAGGGAACTCATGCTTCCTCAGAGATCTCAATTTTCGTCATTCGGTGAAACAGTTGGAAATTTGAACATTGACGCATTCGCGTTTTGACTGACATGTTGTAGGACCTTAATGTTTACAATAATCAGCTACTGGGTAGTAATCAGTGTCATATTGGTTGAAATATGCCGATGATGTTTCAGTATGGTTGTTGAGGCAAATTGATTATCTAGCTCCAGTTTTTACTCGCTTACTAGCAACCGTCTGTTTACACTTGCACTTCATCTGAAACGCAATTTATGTTATAAGTTATGTTGTGTTAATTCTTAAAGCTTTATTTACTAATCTGTTTCACCTTCTAATGAAACATTATGCTTTTCTTGAGTAATTGATTACTCTAGGATAAGAGAATAACTTACTTTACTATACGTTTAGCCTTTTTACTCACTAAACTATCCTACTTTATAGATGTTAGGCATTGAAATTCGGTCTAAATAATCGAAAGTTTGATGTGTTGGGGATCACTAGTTCAATTACGTGATTTCATATTGGCACAGTCATCGCCGATGTGCCACCTGGCGTCCTCCCTCTGCATCTCAAGCCTGGACTCAGATTGATCACATCGCGATCAGCTACCGCTGGCGTGGTTGTGTACAAGACTGCCGCTCCTTTTGGAGTACCTATCTGGACTCTGACCATGCCTTGGTCTGCGCCAATCTTGCCTTACTTTTCAGTGGCCAACGAAGTGACCACCACCAAAAGATTGATGTTAGCAAGCTGGTTGCAACTTCTGTTGCAAGTAAGTATCGAACCGAGCTAGCCTCTAGGCTAGCTACCACTCCATCGAAAAGTATAGATGAGCATTGGTTGCAATTGCATGACGCTATGAAAATGGCGGGAACAGTCAGTTGTGGGTTTGCGAAACGTCCCGCTTTTAAGCACTGGGTTTCTCCAGGTTCCTTACAACTCATTGAAGCCCGTCGGTCTACTCCGGGTGACCGTGAGTTTGACCATAAACGAAGGATGTTACGTAAGGAAATTGGGCAAAGCTTGCGTAAGGACCGAGAAGCCTGGTGGTCGAAGCGTGCTAATGAGCTAGAAGCAGCAGCTGCATCTGGTAATTACCGGAAGCTCTTCCAACTCATCCGAGCCACTGGCAGCAAGAAGTCTGGTGTGAGTGAAACAATCTGCGAGGATGATGGGATGCCAATCACTAACATCCATCGACGTCTTGGACGATGGGCAGAATTTCTTGAAGGGCAGTTCAACTGGCCTGCTGCTCCGGCAACATCGGTCAGACTGTCCGCCCTCCATGGCCGGTGACGACTGATCCACCAAATGTGGAGGAAGTCCGCAAGGAACTCCAACTCTTGAAGCGTTACAAATCACCTGGCCCAGATGACTTACCTCCGGCTCTTTTTAAAGATGGTGGTGACTTTTTGACTAAGGAATTGACGACGTTGTTTACAAAGGTCTGGGAGCTCGAGAGTGTACCAACGTCATGGAATGAGTCGATAGTTGTCCCTATCTTTAAAAAGGGTTCACGTCGTTGCTGTAACAACTATCGGCGGATAAGTCTACTTCCGATTGCGTCCAAGCTATTGGCTTCCGTCATACTTCGTAGATTGTTCAAAACCCGAGAAAGATTGACTCGCGAGGAGCAGGCTGGGTTTCGTTCTGGTCGAGGATGTATTGATCATATCTTCACCCTCCGCCAAATGTTAGAACACCGCCATACTTTTCAAAGGCCAACAATCGTAGTGTTTTTCGACATCAGGGCTGCCTTCGATTCGTTGGATAGGACTGTTCTCTGGGATTGTCTATTGAAGAACGGTGTGCCTGAGAAGTTTATTAACATCCTAAAAGCCCTGTATAAAAACACCTCAGGCAGAGTGAGGGCATACAACCACCTCTCTCCATTGTTCCATTCGAGCAGTGGGGTTAGGCAGGGTTGGCCAATCTCACCATTCCTCTTCAACTTTGCCATCGATGACATTCTGGAAACAGCTCTGATGGATGTAAGTAATGGTGGTGTGGATCTGTTGCCTGGAGAAAGACTTCTCGACCTTGAGTATGCGGATGATATTGTCTTACTGTGTGATAATGCCCAAGGCATGCAATCCACACTTAATCAGTTGGCAATCAGTGTCCGTAGGTATGGTATGTGCTTTGCACCTTCGAAGTGCAAAGTACTTCTACAAGACTGGCAGGATTCCAATCCTGTACTCACCCTGGATGGTGAGCAGATAGAAGTAGTCGAGAAGTTCGTGTATCTGGGTAGCTGCATAAGTGCTGGTGGGGGTGTGAGTGATGAGATCAATGCACGAATAGTGAAAGCCAGAGCGGCTTATGTCAATCTGGGCCACCTTTGGCGCCTTCGTGATGTTAGTCTGCCTGTAAAAGGTAGGATCTACAACGCGTCAGTGAGAGCAGTCTTGCTCTATGCTTGTGAAACCTGGTCTCTCCGAGTTGAGGACGTTAGACGACTCTCTGTGTTCGATCATCGCTGTCTCCGAAGGATTGCTGACATGCAGTGGCAACACCATGTTAGTAATGCAGAGGTTCGGCATCGTGTGTTCGGGCACAGAGATGATAATTCAATTGGTGTCACCATCTTGAAACACCGACTTCGGTGGCTTGGACATGTTCTCCGAATGTCGTCCCAGAGAATTCCACGTCGTGCATTATTTGCCGACTCTGGGACTGGTTGGAAGAAGCGGAGAGGTGATCAGTGCATGACATGGTGTCGTGGTGTGAAAGAAAGCTGCAAAGGACTGGCTTCTGTTGGTCCTTCACGACTCCCTGGTTGGGGTCCGAGAGATGGTGCTACACAGTGGCTAGAGACGTTATCAGATATGGCTCAGAATAGAAGCCAGTGGCGATCCTGCTGTAACCTTCTTTTACTTTCTTCATAAAAAAGGTGGTTGTGTCTCCCTTACCTGAAAGATTTCTTCTGATTGTACCTTTTCGTTCCCTCGTTACTACCACACTACCTTACTCCAATCTCTTCGTCATTGTTCTCTTTTTCTTTTGCGCTCCTTAGTCTTTTTTTCTTTTCTACTTCTCTTCGAATTCTCATTGTTCTGTGTGGCGCATATATATTGGCGCTCTCTTGTACCAATATTCATGTGTTCAAATAAATAAATAAATAATTTCATATTGGTTTGTAGTGTTGAAAAGTTTCAGAATCAAACGAGTAGACTGTCATGTACCACTCAATTTTTAGACACTGTTCATCTATTGCTTACGTATAGTATGATCTACAATTACGATCCCTATCATTCTAATCGCTATTAACTTCTTGATATAACTGAACAGAAATTCCCATCTTTAATCTTTTTCCTACTTTTACAGTTTAGCAACTCATAGTTCCGGTCGACTATTTGCATCATGTTCCAGTGGGGATGGTTCGGTAAAACTATGGAATTGTGGATTCTGGCCTACTGAATCTGATGGTTATTTAGACCAGTCAACTACCGGTAATCATTCTAGTCGTGTTAACAGTGCAACATCTGAACTAGTCCAAAAATCATCTAATTCAAAAAATCCAGAACTTGGGTTAGCTTATTGTTTACCTACACGATCATCTTGGACATTTAATTGTAGTGGACAGGACTCAACTGATTCATCTATTAAAATATGTCGAGTAAGTATGAGTAACCAAATGATAAAAGCAACAAAACTCCGCTAAATCAATTATTTCATTATAATTATAGAACCTTGATGAGGGTCATAAATTTAACTCCTAGCGAGGTAGGTTGTAGATGTGCGTTGCTGCGAATTTCCATAATACCCAATATCTGTTCAGTTAATGTTTATTCAAAGTTAGTACGTGAAGTAAACTATGAATTCCATAAAATTTACGTACTTATCATTAAATTATAACGTATTTTGTGATTTTTCTTATTTGTTTTTTGGTTATATGTAAGCCATACTAACAACTTCTGATTTTTATACCAAAACTAACCTCAAAGTAAAATTCTAATCATTTTTGTCATTTTTCGATTTGTTCATAGTTCGAGATTCATACAATGTTTGCGGGTCTTACGAGCAAGCTAATACGTTACCATCTTATATGTTTATTTATTTAAACAAATGAAGATTTGTGCGAAGGAGCACCAAAAGATATATGTGCTCCATATAAAGTAGTGATCATTCAGTTTTATGTGAGCTGGGATACTACCGGGGTGCCCAAATCGAAGTAGATGGCCAAGCCTTTGGCTCCACAAGGCAATGGAGCAACGTTAGGAGATGCAGCCCCATGGTAGCCAGTGACCAACGATTGGTTGATAAGCCATTTGTTCCTTTAGGATACTGGAGCCCATGTGACCATTGGTTTGGAATCGGGGTTGTCCAACTTCCCTAGGTGGAATCTCCATGTCCACCAACCCGATTAAAGTGCCGGACATTCGCTTTTCGTCCTCTTTATTTCGTAAACAACACCCCGGCCACGAGATGGCAGTGAGTAGGACTTCCCTGGCAGAGGCTATGTACGCGTGGTCATGTGAGAGCATTTCGAGAGGGAGAGATGACTCTTCTCACTCTCGGCTGTATCAAGGCATTCGGGGGCGTCCATGAAGTTGATGTAGAGTAATGAATTCCATTCAAATGATTGTTGCACAATGATCCGTAGTGTCGCGATTTGATCTGTACACGATCGATCCTTACGGAATCCAGCCTGTCGGTCTCGAAGTTGGGGATCCACGAAGTCCTTCATTCTGTTTAACAATACCTTGTTGAAGACTTTTCCTGGTATTGAGAGAAGAGTGATGCTCCTGTAGTTATCACAGTTGCTGAGATTGCCGTTCTTTAGTATGTTGATCAGAAGTCCTTCCTTTCAGTCTGTTGGTACTTATTCATCGTCCCAAATCTTGCTGTAGAGACTGTTTAGTATCTTTGCGGTTACCAGGGCGTTCGGGGGATTTTTGAGATACAATGTCAACAGAGATGAACATGCTTAGTAGTACATGAATAATTTTAAAAGTATTATCAGCATTCATTCCTTTCTTGAAATGTGTTCAGTGAAGTTTCATCTTCTTATACCATCATTTATGCATAACATTTAACGTATTTAAATGCAATATACTTAAACTGTTTTAAGCAAAAAAAAAAACGTCTACGAAAATATTCATCGTAAAAAGGATTAAAAATTTCAAACATTCAAATTGCAATACGATATGTTTTGAATACAATTAGTTTCTTTAAAGGTGCTTCTCTGCACTGGATTTCATAGAAAATAAATTATTTTATTTTATAGAGTCTTGTATGGACATCGAATGGATCTTGTTTAGTTACCATACTTGATGGAAAATGGTTACAACAAATTGATGTAGCTACTGGGCAATCTAATGGTCTAAGTCAATTAAAGATAAATAATTCTGGACGCGCTGTATGTTTAAAAACATCAACATGTTGTCATTTTCCTTCTCAGTACAATTTAGTAAATCAAGTTATGATTGGTGGAAGTGATACTAATTCAATTGCTTATGCTACAACTAGTAATCAAATTGTTGCACGTGATTTACGTGTGCCAAATTCTAGTTCACCTATATGGATTTTAAAACAAGACAGAAGTCATGGTAAGAAATAAACTGTAATGTGAATAATATATTTTTTTAAAAGCTATAAAATTCAGTGAAAACATTGATAAATAATTAAAACAACATCGATTTAAACTATTTAGCTTTACTTACTTTCTGGTTAGCGTTTTTTTTAGCGAGTTAGTTTTCTACGGGATGGGGACGATAACCCCATGCCCAGCCCTCCTCCTTTATCCGGGCTTGGGACCGGCAGTAGCCCCCGGAGGGACTCCAGGCGGAGTTTATTCAGCTTTGCACTGTTTTAATTTATTCCCTAGATAATATCATTTCCCATCTATTAAGGCTATATAAGAAACATGTTTAATTTCTGTTGCTCAGTAGAGTCGTTTACATATCTAACTATTAGTCATTAGGTTACAGTTTTTAATCTAATTATTAATTTCTTCATATTAGACTGACACTTTAATTCAGGCTAGTTGGATCAAACGTATTTGTACTTGATTACGGAAATGGATTTTTTTTTCTGATAAATTTCATTGAAATTAATTAAATTTTACACTACTTATCCTATAAAATGATCATTAGTAATATCATATGGCACAAATTTTATTTAATTAGAGTTAAGATTTTACCCGTGATGTAAGCTTTAGGGTATAGGCTCAATGATAAATTCAGCATTTAACTTCTTATCGTGAATATATTTTTTTAATTATCTGTTCCAATTAAAATGAGCTTTCTAGTCAGTCTAAATACATCTCGAGGATTATACTGATGATGTCTAGATAAAGCAATAAACATTTACAATTAAACTACGCTGGCTCAGAGAACGCACTGACATCAAAACAATTCATTTGAGTTATGGTAATATGCTGGATTATCACACGTTTATTCTGAATTCATCTCTCATATTGGTTGACGTATCTTAATCGTTTCCTATATTGCATTGTAGTACATGAGGATAAACTTGTAACGGACCTCATCGATTTATATACACTTGCTAACTAAAAGAAAGGCATGTTAAATAAATAGGTCATTAAAACTTCATCCATTGATTACCTTATATTAGCTCAGACATTTGATCATCTGTCTACATCTCTATTTGTATACTTGTATTTGTTTATCTCATTATTTATCGGTATTTTACACATTATTTACTTTGTGTTGTCAAAATTACTCTTGATTAAATCGAGTTTGACTGTTACCAATCCTATCTGCGTGTGCTTTTCTTATAGATTGGTTTATCTGATTAAACGATTGCCCGAATTATGATTTCTCTAATAGCATTTTTAATCGGAATTTCGACTTTGCATTGCGTAAACGTAATAAGTCATTGAATGCGTACGAAATTAAACAGATATATATATCCGGGATCAACGAAGTATGTAGTCAATTGTTTTTTCTGTCAAGCTTTATTTTCACCCTACTGTAAAACATAGGAAATGCTTAGTGAATGTGAGATGTAAACTTCATTTAGTTAGTCTGTTTTACTTGCCTTCCTGTCACCATGATAAGGCAGAATTACTCGAAATTTTAGCCTTTGGGTTCGAACCCCGTTCTTCACCACCTTTGTGAAAATCTATAAACTCTGTAAAAGTACGTTCAGTTTTCTAACTTCAAAAAAAAAATTTTCCAACTAGTACACTTGGATGAGTTTGGTGGTAGAGCCATAGTTTGACTTTGAACCACTGAGTCATCTGTTCTTATTCTGATTTACCTACTTTCCAGTCTACAATTCACCAGCTCTTACACTATGGGTATGACTCAGAAATAATTACAAATCCTTTGTACTTGGTTAGCAAATAGGATTAGAAATTTAAGCGAATGAAACAGAAAGTTCTGGTAATATCGAAGTAGAAACTATCAGTCGATATTAATTGCTTAATGTTAATGGGAATATATTATCATGCTTTCGTAAGTTGAATCTTGTGATTTTTTGATATATTAATTAACAAATATTTTTCAACTCTTATTTAGGTTTAATACTTTCGATGGTAGTACATAGTTTTCATACATGGCTTGTTACAGGAACCAGTCGTGGACATCTTATATGTTGGGATTTAAGATATAAACGTCAGATAGCTTATACAGAACATCCATACCAACCAGGTATAGGTATTTTAGATTTACAAATAGCTGAAACTCATTCTCGGTTTGAACTGGATAAAAAGTATGCTGGTCAAAATCTCCCTCAGTCATCCGAAAAGTCATATCAAGTAGGACAAACGTTGGTAAGTTGTTAATTTCATTTGATATATCTTGCATTATGGATGAAATATAATACATGATAAAAACTAAAAACTATTTGACCTTTATCGTACTATACAAGGTCTGTGCACGGATGATGTCATGTTATATTTGTATTGCACTGCCTAAATTTGTTTTAGAGAAACATCTACATTAAGATAAAGTTACAGGGTTCTGATTTTGGGACAAACTATAAAGTTATCACGTTTTTTTGTGATATGACGGTGTCCTTAGGTGAAAATATCTCCAACAAGATATTTTTCATAAATTTTGAGCAGTAAGAACTTATCCCAAGTGTTTTTTGAAATATAATTCTGAGCATTTATAAGACTGAATTTTGTCAGATTTCTCCATCAAGCAGAACTATATGATCCACGTACTTCAAATTGAAGATTGGATCTTTAAATAGATGGTCGACTACTGAAAATCGAAATGTAGTGTTATTTCTAGAGAGGCATCTATCGAACACCACTTACTATTACTAATTTAGATTACTGTTTGGCATTATCGCTGATATGATCAATAATGTTCCAGAGCAGAGCTTTCAGATGTAAAACAATTTTGACACTGATTCAAGGTACGAACACTGCCACGAGACTTCTTGGTAGACAGCGTCGCATTCAGGCTAAGTAATGACTGCAGTCGAGCGTCGGTATGCATACCTGTTTTAGAATTCTGTCAGTGTAACAACTTAACCAACACATCTACGTCCAGATCCTAAACCTTCGATCGGAACCTATTAGATAGAATTACATCCTACTAAGTTAGTTTAAGTGGTAATATTGAGTCATTATACTACGATACCTCTGAAATTAATTTAGAAAGTCATAATGTTTTCTCGCTCGTTCAGGATTATTGTTTTCCCAACCTTTCTAACAACTGGTGGTTCTTACGCATATCTTTCATTGGTGGGTAATGCATGTCAACTGTCTAAATTGTTAATTAAAGTGTGGTTGGAATAACACCTTTCTTATTTTAGAGGCCTTATTGGTAAATAGCAGTGTACTCTACAATGTTATTTTCTTGGCTGAGAATAATACTGGTCACTGAAACACTGATTTTCTAGACGTTGGAGTTGCATCTCTTCATATGACAATCAAGGATAAGGCACAAAATGTCTTTTTGGAATTTTAAAGCTTTATTTACAGTAACCTGTAACTTCTTATAAATCTAACCTCTAAAATTTTATTTAATAGATTATTGCTGCAACCGATCATCATAATGAAGTGACAATCTGGGACTTGGAGTCCTCAGCCACAGCGTCATCATCTGCAGCTATTTCATCCTGTAATTATGGGCTCCCCGGTTCTTTCGCACCAGTTCGCAGTACAGGATGTTTAGCTTCGACGTGGGCTCAACCAGGAAATAAAACACCTCTTGTTCTTGATAGTTCTTTACCACATCGATCAGTCCGATCAATTTTGTGCCTTCCTAACAACAATGTTATACCGTTTAATGAACATAACAAACCCCATTCTCAAATTACTCATTTACCAGCTATAGTGGCCGGTGGTAATGATGCACGTTTACGGTATTGGAACTTCCGAAAACCAGAGGATTCGTGTGTTTTAGTTTGGGCTGGGATTGATGAAGCGACGCCTCCTCGACTTACCTACCGGTAAATTGGTTTTTGTCATTTTATATTCAGTGACACAGTGACATTCATTTAAGATGAACTTATATCCAGGACGCTGATGTGAATATGAATGTTCATACATCCTACCAACAACACTGAATGTATTTTCTGGTTTAACGTAAGATTCTGTACTCCGTAAAATAATTTAACCAATCCCTCTGGATTTTAAAAAATCCGGAAATCAGCTCTATGAAAGCATTTTTAATTGTTCAATTCTAATTTCGCCTTGAGTTAGACTGAACGTCACTCCAGAACTTTAAGTAGAGTAATAAATATACATTATCAAAGGTGTAATCTCGTCTGATTTGTTCCGAATGTTTTGCCTTTCTCACTATCCGTTTGGCACCACGATTCATAAGTGGGGGTTAAGTCATCGAAGCTTAGTTATGATAAAGGGTTCCATACACTATAATGTAAAAACTGATCACTAAATCATAGTACTTTAATAGTATGCTACAGTTTACTTGAATAAAAGCCCATAATTGGTTGAGTTGTTTACACGAGTTGAAATCCCCATATCGAAATTGTGCTTATCGTAATGACTAAACAAAACCAACACATTCGTTTTCCGTATCGATATTCTTCAATTCACTTGCGAACTTCTACTCTGTTTTGATGTACTGTTTAGCTAAATTTATGAACTAGTGATTTAATAGTACCGAATACTATATCCACTAAGCAATCTATGTAACACTGGAGATCTATTGATGGAAATGATAATTTGGTACGCATTAGCTTTGGCTAATAAATCACGAACCAGTTGGCGATAGTACTGTGCAATTCGTCTTAAAAATGTTCTTACTGTTTGTGTAAAATAAGACAGAAAATGTGAATAGTTTTGAAAAAAGTATTTATCATCAATAATGGGATGTAAACTATTTCACTAAAAGTTGACCTGAATGGAGTAACATTGTCATTCAATAGTTAGAATCAACATGAAGCCTGAGACAAATATTCATTAGTTCAAATTGTCATACCCCACTAGCACGACAAGATGATTAGTGACGAGTCATGTTATTGTAGTTTCAGTTTTATTGAAAAATACTAAATACTGAGAATTTGGTTCGAAAAACAGGATATAGAGGTATGTATAAATGAGTAATACTGGGACCAAAAATCTTGGGTAAGATAAAGAGCTAGTGGATCTGAACCACAATGATAGGTTCTGAGCTATGTCAGCCAACGTCTTCAGCCACAGTGATTGCGGTTACCGTGTGGACCTTATCCAAGTAGTCTGCATCTACTAGCGTGATTTAGACTAAGACTCATTGAATTTATAGACTGGTGTCAGTATTTTTATTTTGCCACCCTCCTAACCAAGATGACAAATAACCTACTTTTTTCAACAACAAAAAATGTTTCTACATAACTATACTTTCATTATTACACAGGAAGTGAACTAATACTATATATATTTCTTTTAAAAAAGCTTTCCAAAAAATGATCATTTTCTTCTATTGTTAATAGGTCAACATATGTAAATGATGTCTATGTTTTGATTGAACAAACTGATACTTCTTCCGTTAGTGATACATCAAGTAGTTTGTTAACAAAAACAATGTACACAGAAATATCACAAAAATTACAATCATCAAGTAATATAACAGAAGTATCAAATAGTGCATTCCCTGTGTCAGGACGTTTAGAATTACGTGAATCAACTAAAGGACATAAGAATATTATATCTGATTTAACTGTTCTTCAAGCAGGTCAAGCATTTCTAGTCTCTGCTTCAATGGATGGTGTAATAAAAATTTGGCGATAATATTTATACTAATCATCGAATTTATTCATAAAGTATTTTCTTATTAATTGATTTCACTAATTTATTAATTAATATAAATTGCGATTATGGTGATAATAGAACAACTTTTACTTGTACACCATTTTATTTTACATATTTTATAACATAAATGAAACAACCTTGCAAATATTGTTTAAATATCGGTTATTAAAACTTAAAGTTGTGTACGTTTGTCAAAACTTTAATTCTTTTTATTAAAGTTGTTATAAAGAATTTTGAACACCAATATTTAAGCGTTAATTTCGATTTGGTTTTAACCGAAAAAGACAAAACAACATACCAAATTGTTACATATATAACATTATAGGATTATGATTCACAGAAACGATTTGTTTTAATTTCGAACTGAATAACAATATAAATAAACAAGTGAATTAAAGAAAAATGTTTACATACATATAAATTTGTACAAAATAAAGAAAATAAGAAATCAAAGTGTGTTGTTTTTTGCCTAGACCAAAGGGGTTTTTTATATTACCGCTTTAATGCTAAAAGAACCATATAATCACTTGTTGTTGCCAAGTCTGAACTTAAGCAAGGTGCTGCTTGTTTTAATAAACTTAATGCAAAACTGCTTGGTGCAAATAAATATACTATCAAAGATGAACGTCGTGTTGTAGTTGTTTTCTCGGAACTAGTATTCAATGATTCTTGTAGTACTTTTTCTTCATTTGGACAGATTATACCAGCTGATTGTTTTAATTTTAAATAAGCAATTAAAGCGTGTAGTGAAAAACAATGACTTATTGTTGTTTTTACATCCGTACTTTCAGTATTCGACTGATTATTCAGTTTAGATTCCTTGTCCAGATACTTATTAGTTTGCTCCATATCGGGTAATATTAGCATGAGGCATAAGTTATGACGAACTGTAGATAGTACATTATGAATACGATGCGTGGCTTCAGCCATCCATGAAGCATCAAGAGTGCCTCGGCGTGAAATACGTAAAGTCGGACTACATAGTCGTTCGGAATTACTGTTATTGTCTCTATAATCCAGTAAGTCTTGACTGATATCTTTATTACCTATTAACATCAAACAACGAAAATAAAAATGGTTATTTTTTAATAAGAACTTTCCTTTCCATAAATCCGGTTGTAGATGCTGGTCTAGTTCTTGGAGAGTGACGATTGATTTCAGGTTACATGGAATATCTTCTACTGGATTGAGTATACCGTGGTTGTCCGAGTAGCGAGGTGTGTTCCGATTATATGTGTGATACCGATTAGATATATGAAAAGATGGTTTTGCATAAGGTAAGTGTCGTACATTAGTGAGATTTTTATCACCGGCGTGATCCTCTATGCAATACTGGTTCATCGTGTACGGCCCTCCATCAAAATGTTCATTTGTTCGAATACGATAGTTATTTGCAGTTACAGGAATTCCAGTATCAGACCTAATTATAGCATTTCGTGATTCTGACATTTGATTGTCCTGACTGTCACTTTCCATGTTAGAGTCCGTCTTGTTTAAAATCTGTGGCTTTGGCTGGATTAATTCCGGGTTTATAAAATCTACACGAAGTCTTAAATTTGGACGACTGGTTGCTGAAAGACTTTTTAACTGTCTATTAGCTTCGAGTGCTGATTCACAGCTGTCATAAATGGCGATTGCATATTTACGTCTAGGAGACCAGTCAAGATAAGTTAGTTGTCCAAAACGAGAAAGCATACGCTGCAGTGAATCAGCGGAAGGCCAAGATTCTAATCCACCAATATACAGACAGTGCGATGGAATCGCTTTACCATAGCCTATCTTGCAATGTAAGGATCTAATAAAACGACCAGACATGGACATTTTTGCACGACTGGCCATATCAACATTCTGAAAGCGTACAAATGCATAAGAATGGGCACCAGGTTTCGGAGAACGCTTAATATCAATTTGTTCAACATAACCATACCTCTCAAAAGCTGAGAGTACCTCTTTTTCCGTTATGTCTGGTTCTAAACTTCCAACAAACAAAGTCCTTGTGGCTTTCGACTCCTTTTCTGAATCAGATGCTCCAGGAGAGAATCCACTTCTGTTATGTTCATAGTGTCGAAGGTTTGCAGAGCCAAAGCGATTGTGAGAAGTGATTGCATTTAACTGTGCAGGTGGCAACACCCCAGGGACAGCATTCAGACCAAGAGCCTTTGCAGCAGCAGCCATCATGGCAGAAGATGTCATTCCAGGCATACCAAGTAGGCTTGTAGTACCTGATGGACCTAGTGGAGTTGGTTTAGGTAAAAAATCAGGAAAAGCGGACTCTACTTTGCCGGGAATATTGTGCATAAGATGTCGTCGGTCATTAATATCTTCGGCTTCCATTCCTTCTTGACGTTTTTTGCTGGCAATTACTTTACGCGTATCACCTTCACTAGAAATATCAATTAATGAGGTAACATTTGCAGGACGATCAAGTATGTAAATTATTGGGCTATCACAAAGAGCTTCTTGTGCGTCTTCAGAATATCTGAAGATAAAAAGTTAATAATACATGACACTGGAAAATAGTGATAACAGTTTTTATAACGATAAACTAATAACAAGTAATTATATCTATTCTGGGACGTTATATGAAGCGTAATTTATGTTATGCATAAGTTCAATTTATACTTCGAGTTTTGTGCCGAGAATCGCGTATTAAATTCTTGAAATCCTTATTCACATCAGTCCATTTGTGACTCGTAAAGACAACATGTATGATTAGTTAACACACGCCTTACTGAATTTTAAGCCTTCAGGTATTACATACATTATCTTTTATAATTATGGCTTATTTAGCAAACGATTGTTCCGAAGCTTCGTACCATGATTGTTTGCAGTCGTAACTGTAGTACGACCAGTGGAATTACCTATAATTTTAAAAGTACTTACACTAGTTATTCAACTCTTCAAATCTGACTTGTATTGATATCCAGTAGGTTACATTTTTAATCAAGTACAGGTTTATATACTTATTTTCAAATCACACTTCCTGTGTGGCGAATACCGATAATACCTGGCTGTCTAAATTAAAGTAGCTAAAGCGTGGTCGAGATGAACAACCTTATGGCTGACTAATAAAGCATTTTACGTACACCGGCTCAGTCTACTACAAGCGATGTTGGTTGAAGTAGAATCATTGGAAAAGGATTAAAAGTAGGCAGAACAAGACAGGGTGGCGACCTGTGAAATCACTGTCTCGCTCTCAAATTTAAGAGGGGTGACAGGAACTAGTGGTTTTAGAGCCTAGGTGACAAACCACAAACCGTTTATAGTGGTCTGGATACCTTAACTCTTTATCTTCGACATACTAAACATTCCAAGTTTAGATATTTTTCGCTTTTAGCCCATAATTTTTGTGTAGGTATGTATTTTATTTCCTCCTCATTTGCTCTTTTAGTCAAGGGTGCAATGATGTGTTTTTGAAGTTCTCCTCTTATGAATAAGTCTATCTTGCTTGTCACAAAAGTAAAAGAAAACAAACTAGTAATGAAATATCGGGATAGATCTGGAAAGTAGCTGATTTGCAATTACTTTATCTAATTGTATTATCAAAGGGATATTCACTTGGCTAATTCAATCCGAATGACGAGTCGAATAATCATTGTACAGTAGCTCATTTCATGACAAACTATCTCTATCCTGGTTACGCACTAATGAATGACACAGTAAGTTTATTAACATGTATAAGGCATGCATGAAATAAGAAGTTGGATGTGTGTTTGTTATTTCAGGAGAAGCATCATGCTTTGATTAGCTATCGAAGTATTTTAAAAGGAATCTGTAAAGTGGTAGTTAACGCTTAGGGTGTTGGACTCTCAACCACTAAAAAACTTGTTCAAGCTTCAGTTTAGTTACTTCGATTTGTACAACTAGGTACTATAACTATAGCTTTAGCAAAGTATGGCTTAAAGCCAAATAAATAAAATTGTTCTTGATAAATGAGTTTCAAATGAATTAATTTAGGAAATTTAATCAGCTCAAAGTTTATCACCAAACTCATTGTGGTTTAATGCTAAAACTAAATTAATTTTGCTAATCAAAGATTGAACAAAGTTTAACAATACACCTACGTTATAAAAGGCTCCTTGGACCAGTGTTACTGAAGTAGTACAGAAACGAAAAAAATTCCGTCAAAAACAATGTAGATTCAGAATAATATTTAGAAAAACACTTTGTTTATGTGAATTAATTAATGTGTACCTGAAAAACTTACTGATATGTAACCAGAGCGACGCGTTCGCCACCCAAATGCCCAACATTGATAGAAAGGTCTCCATACTTTCCTAGTTCCCGGTACACACATTGTTCAACAACATCAGCACTCAACTTAGATGAAATGTTTCTTACACATATAGTTCTAGAATGATCTAACCCATGAGTTCTTCCTTCCGAATTCTTCGGTCTTGAAGAATGTCTATTTGAGAGAGAATACTTAGACCTCGAACTAGGAGAGCTTCGAGATACCGATCGATGTCTCTCTGAATATCCTGATCGATCTCTGTGTCGCTTCGACGGGGGCGAGAAGTCTTGATCTCCATGTCTTCGCATCGCACTAAGGCCTAAATCAGAATAGACACAGATATGAGGTAAGTTAGGAGAACATAGTGGTATAGCAACTAATAATAAAAAATTGAAGACACCTAACTGCTTCAAGATAACCAGTGGATTTATCCTGGCTTTTGAAAAGCACTTAAATAACAAGTATATAATGCGTTTAAATTGCCGACTACAGTAGTTACTTGGATAGTAATGCGAGAGCCAACAAGATACATTCCAAACTAACGATATTAATGAATGGGAGGCACATCACTATAGCCGTCACTGTAGGTTAATAATATGAAAGATTAATGACTACATGATGTATTTATTACCATCTATCAAGAGTGGAAAAGAAGCAGGACCAGACAGCATACCAGCTGAAGCACTGAAGTCAAACAAGCAAGTGAAGAGGAGCATTAGAGCCGATAACCAGAAATATGCGGAAG